ATACGCGGCTGTGGACTGGAGGTGATTTCCAGGGACGCGGGTATGGGTGGATATGGACTTGGGGCTGCAGCAGGGCGTGGTCCACGTCAAACTATGCACAAGTCCTGCTCCTGCCTGAGCTCTGGTCAGTCCCTCCCTCCCAGATGCTGGGCAGGGCCATCCCCCAGCGGTGGGAGAACTAAGCCAGCTCCCTCTGGCAGGGGCATGGCCTCCTATGCCCCTCATTCAAGAGTGCAGGCAGGGGCCATTCAGCCAGAAGTTCTTAAGGGGAAGGTTGCAAGCCAGGCATAGCGGCTTGGGCCTCTAATAATTGTAGGGTTGAGAGTCCAAGCCAGCTCAGACAAACCCACAACAAATGAGCAGACAAAATCAGCTCAATACTCTACCATCTCAACTAATGGCTGTGTGAGGTGTGGTCAATGTCTATCAAATGGGAGGGTGACAGTCCAGCCCAGCCTGAACATAAAGCAAAGCTTCTCCCCCAACCTGTGCCCCGAAGGGCAGGCAGGCCGCTCACGCTGTGCAGCACCTGCCCAGATGCTACCAAGTCCCACGTTTGGCCGCAGAACCGCCAGAACAAACAGATGGAGGTCTGAATAGAAGAATTGTAGGCCTTTCTGCTTCCAGAGCCTGTTGTGCAAGGAGGAGCATCGCAGAAGGACCCCAGGGTTTCCAGATGCTTCACCCGGAAGCATGGTTAGCCTAACAGTAATGGCTGCTAGAATAGTAACATGGACACCAGGCCTCGGCAGCAAGAACAAAACTGAAGACAAGAGATAAACAAGATGGGGACTGAGAGCCAGGCCCGTGAAAATTCTTTAAAAAAAAAATAAAACTTGACCCAGTTGGATTTGGTAAGTTGTAGAGGTATTCATAAACAGCGCGCATGGGGGGCCGGGAAGCCCGGAGGAGAGACAGCCCACAGGTATTTTATGAGCGGCCAGAAGAGGATCTGGAGGTAACGGTGGGAAGGTGGGGCTGCCGGCTACCTGATTGGAACAGCACATGCCGCCGTGTGTGTGTGTGTGTGTGTGTGTGTGTGTGTGTGTGTGTGTGTGTGTGTGTGAGATCTCCTGGGGTCCGCTGGGGATGCTGCTCAGATTGTGAGTGCTGCCATCCTGTGTGCGAGGCCCTGTGCTCAACTTCAGGGCTGCCACAAAAATTGTGTCCACGTCAACTCCTGACGAGCATCAGGTATAAAGGGAATTCCTTGCATCTGAGCATGGTGGGGTGCCTACTCTGTCCCCCGAGGCCAGCCTGCCTCCCACAACACCCGCCACATCTGGCCAAGACAGAGGCTGTGCAGACTGGCTGATTTGAACCCACCATCAAGCTTTTTTTTTTTTTTTAATATTATTGGGGCCAGGCACCAGTGGCTCACACCTGTAATCCTAGCTGCTCAGGAGGCTGAGATCTGAGGATCACAGTTCAAAGCCAGCCCAGGCAGGAAAGTACATGAGACTCTTATCTCCAATAAACCACCAGAAAACCAGAAGTGGTGCTGTGGCTCAAATGGTAGTGGGCTAGCCTTGAGCTAAAGAGCTGAGGGACAGCGCCCAGGCCCTGAGTTCAAGCCCCACAACTGACATGTGTGTGTGTAAATACATACGCATGCATGCATGCATGTATTACTGGTGGTTTTCCCTGTTGTAATGGCTTGAGTCTCAGGAAAGTTAGTGTGTCTCTGCGTATCTGGTGGATGTTCAGTTGGACGGGCCTGTCTCAGGCGGCGCACATCAGCAGGACGGTCTCTGAGTGTGTTACCCGGCAGGCTTGAGCCATCGTCTGTGATCCTCTTGAAGTCACCTTTGAAACATGGAACGTCGAAAGTGGAAGCTCACATATGTACTTCCCACACTTAAAAGACGTCACAGACCCTTACCTGTGGCTTTGGGGTCAGAGACCCGCCAGCCCCCGGCCTGTTCCGGGCGCCCGTGCTCTGGCCCTGAGGAGTGGCGGGCCCGCGACAGGTCTGGAGTGTGGCGAGGGCTCGGGCTCTGTGTGCCCGGTGCACAGACGACGCTAAAATAAACTCACACCAAAAATAGAAATCTAAAATTAAATATTTAATTAGAACTCTGGTTTGCTTTAAAGATAGGTGGCATTGCACAGGCTATATTACACTCTTTATAATTTTTTTGACAAAAAAGATACTGTTCATTTTAACAGGCCACTTTAATATGAATACAGGTTGTCATAGAATTGGAACTGAAAATCCGCTAGAGATGGTACATTTTACATTATTGGGAAAATTACAGTTTTGTATTGTAAAAACATTTATTTTTTAACAATTTACCTACATTAATCAAAAAATTACATCATATTTAATAATTTTACAAATTCTTCATAAAAAATATATCTCTGTACAAAAAGGTCTTTGCACCTACATGGCAAGAGCAGCGTGAGGAGAGGCGGCAGCGGTGACGGTCCTGATCGCAAAGCCAGCTTTCTTCCCCCTTGTAACAGCGTTTCTGTTGTTGTTTACAAAATATGTTACACAGAAAAAAAATTATTGCAGCTAGCCTGAAGAAAGGCAAGATGTGAGAGACGCGGCGGTGTACTCAGCCGAAGCACGAGCCGGGTGAAGCAGAGGCCACCTGCTCGGAATGGAGCCAGCACGTTTCTAACAGCCTGCCCTGGCCGGCCCGCCCCGCCCCGCCCGCCCAGGCCTGGTCAGCCCTGTCCTCAGTGGCAGCCTGGGAGCTGTGGTAGAACTCAGTCCATACCCTGGGAAGAAACCAGGCAGGATTCTCACTGAACCCTGAGAACTCTGCTCAGCTTTGTTACCGGCTTTCAATCACATGCTCCAAACTGTCACTCACTGGGACAGTTTGCACACAGAGGGGAGAACACTGGTCTGATATGCAGATTCTTGTGTGTGTGTGTGTGTGTGTGTGCGTGTGTGTGTGTGCGTGTGTGTGTGGTGTCCTGTCTCCCAGGACTTCAGAAGGTCACTGACTGACCAGCAAGCAGGCCAGGGACGGGGGAGAGACATTAATTCAGAGTCTGAAGTCAGCATTTTGCACCTAGTTTGAACAACTCAAACTTAGATATGTACACTATATAAGTATATATATGTATATATATACACCTAATATACATGCGTGATAACCCTGCTCTCCCTTGCACACGGCCTTCCTCAGGCCTTCTGACATTTTCCACTTCTTCCAGCTCAGGACATGGCTGCGGCCAGCCCCGTGTCACACAGTCAGAGCAGCCAAAGGGCACTGGCTGGGCACGTGGCTCTCAGAGATAGGTCAGCTGGGCAGGAAGGGGAACACTGCTGAGGGCTCAGCGTGGCGATGTGTGGTCAACCGCGTGGGCCCGAGGGGACCAGGCCTGCCGGGAGGAGGCTGGGAGCCGAGATGGGAGAAGAATCAGGCAAGAGGCCCCGGGACGTGCCAGCCGCGGCCACTGCGCTGACGCGACCTTCCCTGGCTCCCAGCGGAAATCCCTGCGTTCAAACAGTCCATAAACAGACAAAATGGTCATTCTTAAAGCTAGGGGTGCGCGCTCCCCACGGCCCAGGGAAGGCAGCCCACAGCCTGGCGTCTCGGGGGGAGCCCACAGTGTGCTCAGGGCGGTGCCAGCGCGAGGCCGTGTCGGACACATCAAATAACAAAATAAGCGCTATCTTTTCAAAAATACTTTTATCAAACAGGTATAAACAAGAATAAGCATGATCTTCCCTTGGCTTGTGTTACGAGCGGGCCCGTGGTCCTCCCCTCCTCTGTCCACGGTGTTGAACCTTCCACAGTGGAGCCTGACCCTGTGTGTGCAGCCCGCCACGGACAGGCTGCCCAGGGGGAACCGGACGCCTACAAAAATCACCAGAATGGTCTTTCTGCCTGGCATCCTGCTGTGGGATGAAGGGAGAGTAACGTAGCAAATGGACAGTGGTGCGGGTGAGCACCCTCCCCGGCTGGCAGAGGGGCGCTCAGAGTCCTGGCGCCGCCCCGGGCGCCGTTTTTGAGGGGCGTGATGGGAAATGGGGGACCGCCCACACCAGGAAGACCGGGGGAGCTGACTGACACCCGCAGGTTCTGGGCTATCTAAAATAAATTACTATTCACATCTGTACATGGCAAACGGAGGTCGCTGCGGCCCCTGCTATTCAGTAGTGAGGGAGAGACAACACGGGGAAGATGACAGCCATAGGGGAGGAAAACATGGGAAATAAAAGGCCTCTTGTGTGTCATCGGGCTTCAGCAATGAATTCAACATGGAAATGCGGCCCACAGAACCATAATAGAATAAATCCCTTCCGTATTGTGTTTCTTTGTAACATCTGTGCCATGCCTAGGGTTCTTTCCTTAGCTTCCAACTGAGGTGGTGGTAGGACATTTCTCTCAGTGGTGTGGAAGATGTTTATATACAATGCGTAGTGTGGTGAAACCCTGTGTAAATTGTTTATTTGTGATCAGAATCTTAGCCGTTCAAAACACACTAGTGCAAAAAATTGTGCGTTGAAAATTCTGCAAGACCAGAGCTGACCGTGAGATCTTCTGATGTGTCTCCAGGTGGACACTGGGGTCCTCAATGCTCCTCGGGTCTCAGGAGAGACAGGGCCACGCGTGTGCAGGTGTGTGTACAGATCGTGGCGGCGTCTTCTTCAGGAGAGCCTTTTCTTTACTGTGCATTCATGCCCGTGGGGGTTGAAGGGAAACAAAAACACAGACTGAGCTGCTACCATTTTGTCACCGCTGAGGAGGACATACGCACTGCCCAGACACGACACGGAAGGCATCCGGCCACACAGGGAGTGGGGAGTCCGCGGCACTGGGCCCGCCGTGTCTGCGGGACGCGGCCTCCTTCCCTGTGTGCGCCTCGCTTTCGGGGGAGGCAGCTAGGCATTTGGAAACCGCTTTGGTGATGGAGATGCGTCTGCATGGAGCTTCCTGCTGCACGTCTGCCGAGATGAGGGTGGAGATGGCTGCACAAAGCAAGAGCGGAGGGGGTGGTCTATGGCACCAGAGGAATTACTGCTTGTCCATCAGAGGTATGGCTATGAATCAGTCCCAGTGGGGTGCTGAGGGCTATACCACTGTACACACTGTGTTCAGAGTCGTGTCAAACCTCACAGCCTTGGCCTCTGTGGGTTTTAAGTTTGTATCATACATGGGGTTTTCAAAGGAAGCTTGTCCATTGCTGCTCTCATGTCCAGCATACCCATTGTACTGGACTTTTGGTCTTGTTCTAAAAGGAAGAGAGGGAGTGCAGTTAGACACCGGGAATCTGTGGGAGAGGCATGGCGGCCAGGCCAGCAGTGGGACAGGACACTCCAGGAGCAGGACCTGCCCTGCAGGAGCGCCTGTGAGGGTCACCGCTGGCTGTGGCTGGAATTATGCATAGAACTTAGACAAAGGGGAACTATTTCCCAGATCAAATAATTGTTCATGCGAAGAGTGAGTCTTCAAATCTCCCAAGAAATTGAGATGCTCTCAAAGTCTGGAGTAAGTGGACTTTGCTTTGAACATCAAAACTCTCTATGCTCCATCATACAGCACTGGTGAAGTCACTGAATCTTAGGGTGCTGCGTATAATGGCCCCTGGGTGGTTCATCTGCACTATGATAGAAACTGGGTTGAGAGTCAACCGGTAGTACCATCACCAAATCGTAGTTATTTTTCTAATGTTATTTAATCTCTGGTAAATTAAAAACAAATCTTTATAGAAATCTTTATATGAAATACTTATCATTGAAGCATTTTATGTTTTGTGATTAAATATAATCATACTATATATTATATATAATCCATGTATAAAGTATTAGAAGGTTTTGTTTTGATGCCCAAATCTAAATGTATCTATCTATTCAGGCTCTTTTTTCTCCCTTATTAGAGACAAGTAAAGGAAAAAGACAAGCATGGTAAAATAGAATGGCGCTGTGGACAACCACAATGAAACAAAAACTTCATTGATCCAGGATGAGTTAGAATGGCCACCCTCAAGAATACAAACAGTAACAGATGCTGGCATGGATGTGGGCAAATAGAAACCCCACTACACTGCTGGGGGAAATGTAAGCTTGTTCAGCCCACCCTGGGAAGCAGTATGGAGGTTCCACAAAAATGCTAAACATAGAGCTCCCCTATGACCTAGCAATCCCACTTCCGGGCATTTACCTAAATGACCACAAACAAGGCCATACTAAAGCTACCAGCACAACCATGTTCACTGCAGCACTATTTACCACAGCGAAGATATAGAATCAGCCCAGATGCCCCTCAATGGGCAAATGGATCAAGAAAATGTGGCGCACGCACACACACACACACACACACACACACACACACACACACACATACACACACACATACACAAGAATTTGACTCATCTATTAGAAAGAATATTACATCATTTACTTAAAAAAGGATGGACTTGGAAAAAATCATGCTTAGTGAAGTCAGGCCCAAAGAGACAAAGAACAAATGCTTTCTGTCATGTGTGGAAGCAAGAACTACTTTATAAGTATTGTAGTAAACACTTCTGGGCTGTGCAAGTGTATACAGATGTATCAACCAAAAGTTGGTATTTTTAGGCAAGAATTCAAATGGTGTAATTTCTTAGGAAGGCTAACTCACAGTTCAGTAAAAGGAACTCCAAGAAACAGATACTGAAAAGACTAGGTATAGGATCAAGGGGAGAGGAGTAGATGAATAAAGAGAGTAAGGGAGGAAGAACGCAGTCATACAAAATTAAAAAATTGGGGGTTGGGAAGGCTGGGGGAGAATAATGGAAGGGGTGATATTGATCAATGTGCACTATATTCATAAACTGTTTGTTGAATGGTAACTCTTTGTACAACCACTTAAAGATAATTTTTTTTAAACCATAAAAATAAAAGCTAGGTTGGTGGCTCATGCTTGCAATCTCAGCTACGCAGGAGGAGTTTCAAAGCTAGCCTGGGCAGGGAAGTCTGTGAGATTCTTAGTTCTAGTTACCCACCCCACCCTCCAAAAGCTGTAAGTGGAGCTATGGCTCAATTAGTAGAGTACGTCTTGAACAGACCCCTGGCCCTATGTTCTAGCCCCGAGACCTGGATAAACCCACAAAAAAGTATATCATCACACTTATGTTGTTTTTGTAGCCAAAACTAAGTGGATATAGGTGCATTATATGAAATCATTCAACGTATTTAATACATTTTAAGCTTACTTCAGAGCAGCATAACTTTTGTAATTTGTATAACATCCTGAACTGTACTTTAGGTCAATTTGACATATGAAAAATCCATCCAACTAATATATCACACATATATAGATGTACATGGATTTTATAATTCCTCCACAACCCCTTACACATTTGTATCCACATCACCCCAAAGGCAGTGAATGGATCCATTAAAGCCGCTTTCTCCATGTTTTGACACTTACCCATTAAGAAGGATTTGCAAATTAGTGGATATCTGGGGAACCTTTATAAGGTGGAAGCATATATTGTTGTTGAATGCATGGAATCAGTAAAAAAGTATACATTTTAGGTTTGCTTTGTCCAGGTCATGGAGACTATTCTGTTGATAGAGTGGACATTCTCTTGATGTTCTAGTTGCTGAATGGCAAAGCATGCTAGATTTTAGCTTGGTCATTAATGTCATTAAAACTAACTATTCCCATGTGTCCTATAAACAAGGTAGAATCAATTCAAAGAAAAACAAAAACAGCATCACCAACAGCGAACCACGAGGTATAGAAGTATTCTCAAAAAGAACACAAGTATCCTTATGTCCCAAGAGGGTCATCACATACTGACAAACATCATATGCACACGAGTGGATGCACACCAGCAGTTCACACTCAGAAAACGTTCACACTGTCTTCCTGCGGTACCTGTGTTTGTAGAGGTAAAATGCGAACCCTGATAAAATTAGAGCAAAGAATGGGACCAGAATGGCAGCCGCCACAGAGCCACCGCTGGTGCCGTGGTAACGACTCGAAGAATCTGGATCAGAGTTGGAGGGATCTGAAAGAAAAGGGGAAAATTTTAATTTGCAGTTCCTGCACTGGCCGTGCAGCACTACTTGTAACAGGTGCAGTGAACATACCTCCCAGGTATTTCACGCACAGGGACCCAGCTAGGAGGCTTTCCTGAAGACTTCCAGGAACAGATCCTGCCTCCCCTAATTAACTCAGTGGTAGCATGGGGTGGGCAAGAGTCTCACATTTCAAATGCCAGGAAGAGGCATCCTGACTTTTGGTTTCAGCTATAAGGATTTGTATTTGTGCAAAAGCTAGCAGAAAGCATGTATATATGGTTTTCCAAGTTCAGAGGATTGCTCCTCACTTGTCTGTAAAGCTATACAAACTTCCCAGAGCTGTGGAGAGATGTATGGCATCCTGGTTTACCAAGGTGGCATGCACCAGAGTCAGTGCCGGTGGGTGCAAGGTGCACAGGGGAGGTGGGCTGTGGGCGTCAGCGTGGGGGCCGGGGCGGGCCACGGGCTCCCGTCAGTGTGGGGGCCGGGGCGGGCTCCCTGTCAGCGTGGGGGCCGGGGTGGGCCGCGGGCTCCCATCAGCGTGGGGGCCGGGGTCGGCCACGGGCCCCCGTCAGCGTGGAGGCCGGAGCAGGCCACAGGCTCCTGTCAGCGTGGGGGCCGGGGTGGGCCGTGGGCTCCCGTCAGCGTGGGGGCCGGGGCGGGCCATGGGCTCCCGTCAGCGTGGGGGCCGGGGTGGGCCGTGGGCTCCTGTCAGCGTGGAGGCCGGGGCGGGCCATGGGCTCCCGTCAGCGTGGAGGCCAGAGCAGGCCGCCGGCTCCCGTCAGCGTGGGGGCCGGGGCGGGCTCCCTGTCAGCGTGGGGGCTGAAGGACACAGCTCCTTCACCATGAAAGGAACGTTCACCGCCAGGGGCGATGGCAGCCTGTACTCCCAGCATTTGGGAAGCTGAAGCAGGAGGACCCAGAGTTCCAAGTGTGGGATAAGAAGTGTTGTGGACCAGCCTAACCTGCTGAGGGAGGCCCTTCTCAAACAACAGCAACTGAGACTGTGGTTAGCTCTAGGCCGCACCTACAGTGGCCTGCGGAGCCGCGTTTGGTGACCACACGGGCACTCACTGGAAATCCAGCCATCAGACCCTCATGACTCGACTGTGGGCAAAGAACGAAGTTGGTTTTGGGGGCAGTTCACTTACAACGTAGGATCTGAAACTCATTTGGCCAAATGCCAGGGGTCACGTAGTGCACAGGTGCGTAGTCAGTCAAGTGTGGCGGGCTCGTTGGCCAGCTCGTCTCCAGAAATGGTGGCATTCCAAATCGAAAGCAAAGTCTTGTTTATTCTTGTAAGCCAAACATGCACAAGAGTGATCAGAGGCTGAGAATCCTTCCATCGCTGGTGAACATTTCCGCTTTCACAGACAAGTCCCAGGACGCCGTCCATGTCATGCATGGGGATGACTGGAGCAGTGTGGAGGTGAGGGAGCATGTCCAGCCCCAGCCTTGTGACGTCCAGCCCAGCCTTGTGACGTCCAGCCCAGCCTTGTGACGTCCAGCCCCAGCCTTGTGACGTCCAGCCCAGCCTTGTGACGTCCAGCCCAGCCTTGTGACGTCCAGCCCCAGCCTTGTGACGTCCAGCCCAGCCTTGTGACGTCCAGCCCCAGCCTTGTGACGTCCAGCCCAGCCTTGTGACGTCCAGCCCAGCCTTGTGACGTCCAGCCCCAGCCTTGTGACGTCCAGCCCAGCCTTGTGACGTCCAGCCCAGCCTTGTGACGTCCAGCCCAGCCTTGTGACGTCCAGCCCCAGCCTTGTGACGTCCAGCCCAGCCTTGTGACGTCCAGCCCCAGCCTTGTGACGTCCAGCCCAGCCTTGTGACGTCCAGCCCCAGCCTTGTGACGTCCAGCCCAGCCTTGTGACGTCCAGCCCAGCCTTGTGACGTCCAGCCCAGCCTTGTGACGTCCAGCCCCAGCCTTGTGACGTCCAGCCCCAGCCTTGTGACGTCCAGCCCAGCCTTGTGACGTCCAGCCCAGCCTTGTGACGTCCAGCCCAGCCTTGTGACGTCTAGCCCCAGCCTTGTGACGTCCAGCCCAGCCTTGTGACGTCCAGCCCAGCCTTGTGACGTCTAGCCCCAGCCTTGTGACGTCCAGCCCAGCCTTGTGACGTCCAGCCCCAGCCTTGTGACGTCCAGCCCCAGCCTTGTGACGTCCAGCCCAGCCTTGTGACGTCCAGCCCCAGCCTTGTGACGTCCAGCCCCAGCCTTGTGACGTCCAGCCCAGCCTTGTGACGTCCAGCTCCAGCCTTGTGATGTCCAGCCCCAGCCTTGTGATGTCCAGCTCCAGCCAACATGACGTCCAGCCCCAGCCTTGTGACGTCCAGCCCCAGCCTTGTGATGTCCAGCCCCAGCCAACGTGATGTCCAGCCCCAGCCTTGTGACGTCCAGCCCAGCCATCGTGACGTCCAGCCCCAGCCTTGTGACATCCAGCCCCAGCCAACGTGACGTCCAGCCCCAGCCATCGTGACGTCCAGCCCCAGCCATCGTGATGTCCAGCCCCAGCCAACGTGACGTCCAGCCCAGCCTTGTGACGTCCAGCCCCAGCCTTGTGACGTCCAGCCCAGCCTTGTGACATCCGTCCAGCCCCAGCCATCGTGACGTCCAGCCCCAGCCATCGTGATGTCCAGCCCCAGCCAACGTGACGTCCAGCCCAGCCTTGTGACGTCCAGCCCCAGCCTTGTGACGTCCAGCCCAGCCTTGTGACATCCGTCCAGCCCCAGCCATCGTGACGTCCAGCCCCAGCCATCGTGACGTCCAGCCCCAGCCATCGTGATGTCCAGCCCCAGCCTTGTGACGTCCAGCCCCAGCCTTGTGACGTCCAGCCCCAGTCTTGTGATGTCCAGCCCCAGCCATCGTGACGTCCAGCCCCAGCCATCGTGACATCCAGCCCCAGCTATCGTGACGTCCAGCCCCAGCCTTGTGACGTCCGTCCAGCCCCAGCCATCGTGACACCAGCCCCAGCCATCGTGACCAGCTCCAGCCATCGTGCCTGAGTCCAGGACGTGGCAGACAGGAGCCGCTGAGCCAGAGGTGGCTCTCCAAGAAGACCAATGCTTCACTGAACAACGGCCCCCCCTCTGCGTCGCTCTGTGTAAGAATCAGGTGACCTGTGCGACTCACACACTTAGAGCAATGACTGACATGTGGTCAGTCAGACCCACGTCTCCCTGGAGCTTCTAGAATCCAGCCCCTGCTCAAGCTATTTTCAGATTGTGGAGGCATTTTGGACTCAAGAATCTCGTGGGTTCTACTTAGCGCCCATGTCTGATTCCCAGGGTATCTGCACATGGTTTCCCAGTAGGACCAAACTTTATATAGTTTGTCCTTAATAAATATAAAACTGCCAATCTCAAAATTCTGGAAAATCTCCATGCCCAAGGGACCCCACTTTGTGACACAGGACAACAGAGAGACCGCTCTGTGGACAGCACCGACGCCCAGCCTCAGATGGCTGAGCCCTACAAGGCTCCTACCTAGTTCCAGCCACTTTCTTAGTTTTAATGATTTGCAGGACCACACAGCCATGGAGTAGTAAGTGAAATGGCAGAAAAGGTCACGAAAATAATTCATGTGAGGAAAATAAAAATGAAGGCTCATTCTGTGCCCTGTGTGCTGATCTAAAGCCTCCTTTCAACACTGCATGAATATTGTCTGTGAGTGTTTCCCTTTTCTTTCCTATAATGTACACTTTCATGGGGCTTCTCACTCACCTATTTTCGAGTTTTTTCTTTGGGCACATATACAACATTCCATTTATAAGGTGTATAGGAAGAAGTTTGTTGGTTCTATATACCAAAAATACTTTTGCTAGTTACTACTACTTCTAACTCTTCCAGTTTTTTCTCTACAGTTGAATGAGATGTATCTCTGCGTTTATGCGTGCAACATTCTAGGTAGAAGCATGGCCTAATACAATCTGTGCTGTTTGGTGTCACGGTGTCTTACCTAGATTCCTTCCAAAGGCGTTCCCCAGCCTTGTGCTGTGGTGCCTGGGGATGTCAGCGTGTGAGCTGCCACTGCTGCTTGCCTGCCCTGGCCTTCCCTTCCTGCCCACTCTCCCCTCTCTGTTGCAATCCCTCCTGGAATTACTACCACTTCTGTGCTGATTCAATCTGAGGGTTGTTTTAAATGCAGATTTCCTTACTGATGAAGGAATGTACGCATCTTTTCACAGGGGATGAGCCAGGTGAGTCACTTGCATATCTTCAGAGAGATAAAATCATCTTCAAGTCCTTTAGTCCACCTCTGAGTCTTTTAGATGCTCTAGATAAAACCACTGATCAGTTTCATGTTTTTTTCCGCAGATATTCTTTCACTCCGTGTGTGGATAAAGTCATTCCGTTTTAATGGGGAAACCAATTTGAGTTTCTTATACAAGATTTTACATTAACGTTGTCTTTCAAATTAACTTGGCTCCAGCACTTACTTAATGATAGTCACTCCTTTTGTTGTTGTCTTCTGACTGAGACAATTAGGTTTACTTTTACCCATAAACATGGGCTTCAGCCATCTCTCTTCAATGAATGATTGTTGCTGAAGCATTACTTAAGCGTAGCCTTTTCTAATTAGGTGACCAGAAAATTTTCTTGGGATTCAAATTGGTTTTTTCCTGACAAAAAGCTCATCATTACATGCGCATACAGATTTCTTGTGAATGAGAGCTGTTATTTTGTTAGATGAAAAAAGGAGTGAGGTTATATAAAGAAAATGTGAGAACACAGGCTCACTGCCGTGTTCTGAAACTCGAGCAGGACAGGGGCTGGGGGGGAAGCCCAGGGAAGGGTTTGCCTGAGACTGGGAGGAAGACATCACCCATCGTTAGGGTTGGTGGGCAGCATTTATTGTTCCTCATCACCAACCTGAAGTAGTAGCGACTGCTGACACAATCATTGACGTTCTTCTACCCAGGGCTACTGACTGCAACGGTGGAAGCGGTTATGAGTCACGTGCATGCTGGTTTAGGCCCGCCGATGGCTCACTGGCGTTGGCGTACAGGCCGGGGGCCTCCCCTGCACCGAGACCCCGGGCACGTCGTGTGGAACGAGCCCTGGCCCAGGGGTAGCACACTGTCCAACGCCGTCCTCACCAAGGCAGCCCCGGTGCCCGTGCTGCGTGGCGCGGCTGCTCTCCGAGGTGGCAGTGCTTACACAGCAGTCTGCAAGCAGCACGGAGCCATTGGTAGTGATAGGGCTGATCTCCTCGGTGTGGTCCCTTTGATCTTTAGCTTCTGCACTGAGCTTCCTGCGGCAGCTCAAGGACTTGCAAGTCCGACAGCCACGTGAGGTAACTTGTCTATCTTGTTGAAAATACAGACTAGGCGGTAAAACACCTCACATCACACTTTAAGAAAAGAATACTGCACCTCATTCTTCATCGTAAAAGCGGCCAGCAGGCAAGAGACAAGCCGAGGGATGTGGGTCCACCTTCTCGCTCTGACTCAGAGGTCAAGTCAGAGGGTGGAGGCAGACGAGGAGGAGGGAGGAGGGTCCAAGGGCCAACACTGTTCTCACGGGCACCAATACACACGCCTCGCTCCTCGAATGCGTGTGCTGAACAGTGGCTTCTAGCTTAATGTCCAATGAAATTCATCCGATGACATTATTCACAGAAGCGATTATTTTATGATAGACGTATAATTTGTGCAAGTTATTTCTGTGCTTAAAAGCGGGTTGCATTTTATTTTTGTGGTTTTTGCAGCCAAACCCAAGGCCTTGTGCACAGAGCTCAAATGTCTCACCACAGAGGGATAATTTCTGCTTTGTAAGAAGTTAGTTTTTTAAATGTTCATTATTTATAGAGTAGGGTTTCATTACTAAGTTCCATATTTACTAGGTGTTCTAATCAATATAGTCTTGATTGAAACATGTCTCTATATGCAAAGAACATATTTTTATACTTACCTAGCCAAAAATGTTGTAGTTGTTGAATGAAAGGACATCTGCTCACATATCTCCAAACTTACACATAATACGTCTGGTCAACCAGCCCAAACTGCCTTCCCTAAAGTGTGCCATTCTAATAGCTAAAGTCCAGACAGCCTGTGGCATATTTGTGTGTGTCTGCATGTCTATAGACACACACCTATATATACATATACACCCATGTGTACATATATATGCACATATATATACACAGATATATACAGATATATGTATGTATGTATATATACACACACATATATATACATATTTAGAGACCTTAAAAGTTTGCTGGCCATTTTTAATTATTCTTACTTTTTAAAAATTATTGTTCACTTCTAGTTTCCTTAGGTATTATATTATGTGTATTGCAAGAGTCTGTTTCATTCTCTGGCTAATAAGGGTATAATATATAAAGATATAAGGATATAGATTTACAGCTATCTACATAGATACAGATATATGATACATCTCTCTATACATTTATAAGGTAAGTATTTTGATACAATGATTGATTACTAACTCTGGCATATTTCTTTCCTTATTTACACATTTCTACTTGTCAAAGAACCTGCTTTTATGGAGCTGTAGCATACAGTAATCCCTTTTGGTTGTGTCGTTAGAAGTCATGTCTTTTCTGCTTCTGCTTACCTTGTCTCTCTAGCTTGAACTTCCCAAAGTCTTTTCCATGCACGTCACCCTGGAAGGTGAAGCCGCCTCTCTCCAGCCCTGAGGCCACCTGGAGGCAGGGAGGAGGGAGGTGAGGACAGCGCGGGCTCCTCTGCGGGCCTCCACAGCCTACCTCACAGCTAACACCCAGCTGCCACATGCAGTTGGAAAACCCTCTTCTGGGGGACATTTGTAGTCACTCCACAGGGAAGCTCGGGAAATGCACCGAAGCCATCCGCTTTGCCCCCTGGCACGGCCATCCACACGCTGTCCACGTGAGGACACCACACACAACGGGCCGTTTGTGTCACCGCTGTGGGCTGCTGGTCCCCGGGGAGCAGAGCTCCCGCAAAGCCTCCGAGAGCCGGCTGGGAAGGATGCCGTGAGCACAGGAGATGACCACCGGCCACGGAAGACCGGGCTGGCCCTCAGCCAGCTGGAGGGGGGAGGCGGGCTTCCCTGTCTCCTCGGCCTTCTAGCGTAGCCGCCTCGCAGCTCTGGACCGTTTTTGATTTTTGGTTTTTTCCATTTCAAATGATGTGGTGGTGGTGTCATGACAGGAAGGGATGGGTGGCTGCGGCTCCTTGCCGGAGCCCCGGATGCCCAGACACAGCCACAGCCTCTGCCCCGAGTGAGTCCTTAGCTCTTCCCACACAGACCACAAAGCGTGAAATCCCGTGCGGGGAGGGAGGCTGCTCTCAACCGGGGGGAGGGGAGAGGGAGGGAGGTGGAGAGGAGGGGAAGCAAGGGGAAGGGAGGGGGCAGGAAAGGGGGAGGGGGGAGGGGAGGAGGGGGAGAAAGGGGAAGGGAGGGGGAGGGGAGGAGGGGGGAGGGGGAGGGGAGGGGGGGAGAAAGGGGGAGGGGGGAGGGGAGGAGGGGGAGAAAGGGGAAGGGAGGGGGGAGGGGAGGAGGGGGGAGGGGGAGGGGGGGGGGGGAGAAAGGGGGAGGGGGGAGGGGAGGAGGGGGAGAAAGGGGAAGGGAGGGGGGAGGGGAGGAGGGGGAAAAAGGGGAAGGGAGGGGGAGGGGAGGAGGGGGGAGGGGGAGGGGAGGAGGGGGAGAAAGGGGAAGGGAGGGGGGAGGGGAGGAGGGGGAAAAAGGGGAAGGGAGGGGGAGGGGAGGAGGGGGGAGGGGGAGGGGAGGAGGGGGAGAAAGGGGAAGGGAGGGGGGAGGGGAGGAGGGGAGGAGGGGGGAGGGGAGGAGGGGGAGGGAGAAACTCACATAACCGTCCAGGCCCCAGTTGTCGTTTTCAAACTTGCTCACAAAAATGTCGGCTGGGCCTCTGATATGAGCAGCTTTCAGCAGGAGGTGAGCTTCCTCCTTCTTGTAGACCCCTGTGGAGAGACCCAGGCTGTCAGACCTGCGGGGGGTGAGGGGGGGGAAGGATAGTGGGGGGGATAGTGCGAGAGGTCAGCCAGCCCTGGGAAAGGTCAGCCAGCCCTGTGAGGGGTCAGCCAGCCCTGGGAGAGGTCAGCCAGCCCTGGGAGAGGTCAGCCAGCCCTGTGAGGGGTCAGCCAGCCCTGGGAGAGGTCAGCCAGCCCTGTGAGAGGTCAGCTAGCCCTGGGAGAGGTCAGCCAGCCCTGTGAGGGGTCAGCCAGCCCTGTGAAGGGCCATCCAGCCCTGGGAGAGGTCAGCCAGCCCTGTGAAAGGTCAACCAGCCCTGGGAGAGGTCAGCCAGCCCTGTGAAAGGTCAGCCAGCCCTGGGAGAGGTCAACCAGCCCTGTGGGGGGTCAGCCAGCCCTGGGAGAGGTCAGCCAGGCCTGTGAGAGGTCAGCTAGGCCTGGGAGGGGTCAGCCAGCCCTGGTAAAGGTCAGCTAGCCCTGGGAGGGGTCAGCCAGCCCTGGGAGGGGTCAGCCAGCCCTGTGAAGGGCCATCCAGCCCTGGGAGAGGTCAGCCAGCCCTGTGAAAGGTCAGCCAGCCCTGGGAGAGGTCAGCCAGCCCTGTGAAAGGTCAGCCAGCCCTGGGAGAGGTCAACCAGCCCTGTGAGGGGTCAGCCAGCCCTGGGAGAGGTCAGCCAGCCCTGTGAGGGGTCAGCCAGCCCTGGGAGAGGTCAGCCAGCCCTGTGAGAGGTCAGCTAGCCCTGGGAGAGGTCAGCCAGCCCTGTGAGGGGTCAGCCAGCCCTGTGAAGGGCCATCCAGCCCTGGGAGAGGTCAGCCAGCCCTGTGAAAGGTCAGCCAGCCCTGGGAGAGGTCAGCCAGCCCTGTGAAAGGTCAGCCAGCCCTGGGAGAGGTCAACCAGCCCTGTGAGGGGTCAGCCAGCCCTGGGAGAGGTCAGCCAGGCCTGTGAGAGGTCAGCTAGGCCTGGGAGGGGTCAGCCAGCCCTGGTAAAGGTCAGCTAGCCCTGGGAGGGGTCAGCCAGCCCTGGGAGGGGTCAGCCAGCCCTGTGAAGGGCCATCCAGCCCTGGGAGAGGTCAGCCAGCCCTGTGAAAGGTCAGCCAGCCCTGGGAGAGGTCAGCCAGCCCTGTGAAAGGTCAGCCAGCCCTGGGAGAGGTCAACCAGCCCTGTGAGGGGTCAGCCAGCCCTGGGAGAGGTCAGCCAGCCCTGTGAGGGGTCAGCCAGCCCTGGGAGAGGTCAGCCAGCCCTGTGAGAGGTCAGCTAGCCCTGGGAGAGGTCAGCCAGCCCTGTGAGGGGTCAGCCAGCCCTGTGAAGGGCCATCCAGCCCTGGGAGAGGTCAGCCAGCCCTGTGAAAGGTCAGCCAGCCCTGGGAGAGGTCAGCCAGCCCTGTGAAAGGTCAGCCAGCCCTGGGAGAGGTCAACCAGCCCTGTGAGGGGTCAGCCAGCCCTGGGAGAGGTCAGCCAGGCCTGTGAGAGGTCAGCTAGGCCTGGGAGGGGTCAGCCAGCCCTGGTAAAGGTCAGCTAGCCCTGGGAGGGGTCAGCCAGCCCTGGGAGGGGTCAGCCAGCCCTGTGAAGGGCCATCCAGCCCTGGGAGAGGTCAGCCAGCCCTGTGAAAGGTCAGCCAGCCCTGGGAGAGGTCAGCCAGCCCTGTGAAAGGTCAGCCAGCCCTGGGAGAGGTCAACCAGCCCTGTGAGGGGTCAGCCAGCCCTGGGAGAGGTCAGCCAGGCCTGTGAGAGGTCAGCTAGGCCTGTGAGGGGTCAGCCAGCCCTAGTAAAGGTCAGCTAGCCCTGGGAGGGGTCAGCCAGCCCTGGGAGGGGTCAGCCAGCCCTGGGAGGGGTCAGCCAGCCCTGGAAGGTGTGAATATGTTGTCCACAGAACAGATAACATGGGCACCAGAAAACTCAAATGTAAGTTTCATTTTACTGATAAATTACAGCATCGGCATTTTTTTTCCTCACTGAAAATAGCTTCTTAATAGAGTTTTTGTATAGACTCCTCTCAGGGGAGTTAAGTGCTCTTCATTAAATTGAACACGTTTACCCCAAACGAAGAAGGAAAGGAAAGTAACAGGAACTGCAGCCCTCACTGGACCTGGGCTACTTAGAGAGATGACCCTGGGTGGGCGTGGCCTGGTGGGAGTGGCCAAGGAGAGGCGCTGGCCATAGGGGATGGGTGGGCGTGTTCCAGTGGGTGTGGCCGAGGAGAGGTACTGGCCACAGGGGATGGGTGGGCGTGTCCCAGTGGGTGTGGCTGAGGAGAGGTGCTGGCCACAGGAGATGGGTAGGCGTGGCCCAGTGGGTGTGGCCAAGGAGAGGTGCTGGCCACAGGGGAAGGTTAGGGTGCCACTGAGTGACCTGACTGCCAGTTCATTTCAAAGATGAGATAATGAATAGATAAAACTGGAAGGAGTGGAGAGCCCCAGACAGGGCAGCACCGATTCCTGTGCACTCAGCTCACAGGAGCAAACCTGACATACACATGGTAAGAAACAAGATCCAAGAAAATGAAATGGACAGGCAGGCATCTGTGAACAGAAGTGTCAGAGTCAAGGTGTACTGTGGTAGCGACACACGCGAGGATGTCCATCACCTTTCCTGTATCAACGCAGTGGCCTCAAGAATGAGAAAACACTACGGAGCTGTGGAGGTCAGGGAGGGCTCTGGGGCGCCGGGCACACACAGCCAGGAGTGTCTCTGTGCGCTCTGTGATGAGACTATCTACCTGTCAGCTCCAGCTGCACCTGCGGGGCTGCCGTGAGGGTCGCGTTGACCTTGCTGCTGGTTGCGTTGAACCAGTCAACAGTCAGGGTGGCTGGCTGCCTTCTGCCTGTGTATTCGTAATATCCTTTCCACACTGAACTGACGAAAAACACATCTGAAGGAACTGGGAGAGGGAAACAGACAAACGTTAGCACACCATGCCAGGTATTGAATCCAGATATTTTCAAACACCGAAGGCACAAAACTGTGCAGTGAGAGACTTCAATTAACCACCACAGTGAAGAGTAGGGTAGCCTGGAGCCCTGTCCTCTCACGGTAAGAGTCAAAGCAGCAGGTGCACCAGTCAAGAGTGATGAGCATGTAGCCTTTTCTGGCTCTGCTGGGAACATCCTAGCACCTCAGGCATGTCTGTAGGAGCAGAACCCCTTCCTTTAAGAGAACCATGGTGTGCGGAGACTGCTCTGCCAACATCAGCCTGAGCTTTTCCTGTGGTCAGCTGTCCTGGCGGCACACGGCCAGGCCTGTCTACCCCGAGGGCCTTGGGCTCAGAATTCGCAGTGTCTTTTGTCAGGAATCCCATCCAGACCCGTCACGCTCACATCCCCAAGCCCAGGGCTGGAGACCCAGCTGGAGACAAAGCGCTCCTACCTGTGGGGTGCGTTGTACAAGTGCAGAATATCACCCTCCCCGTCACCATTTTCTCCTCTCCCACTTCACTCTCCTTGTGTGAAATATCCCACTTTCCTACATGTCTCCAGTGCTCAGAAGTGGAAGACATAGTGTCTTTGTGGCCCATAAAATCAATCAGGAGTACATGTAAATACATCAACGTATCTTCTTGTGTTCACTGTTAGTGAGATTTTTGTCTCTGCTGATATACATGTGTAAATCCTCAAATCGAACACTATTAACGTAAGCATGCATATAGAATGATGGTGTATCGCTCCCCCAGTGCCCCTAGGATCTTCTTCCTTTCTGCCTGACCATGTGCCTCAATTATTTAATTGGGCAAAAATCCACTATAAGTAAAACTGAGCTGCCAGAGATTCATTTTTCCCTGAGTATGTTTTTTTAGCAAGTCCAATTACAATGAGAAATGATCATGTGACAGGGATGAGGTATCTCCCGTGTCCATGCTTCTGCTTGGGGCCAGCTGACCACCTTGCCTGGACAGGTCAAGCCTGCCACAAAGCCTGCCAAGCAGGTGCAGGAATGGTAGCAGTGACAGCTTCCTGGGGCTTTGAGTAGAGCCAGCTGCTGACCCAAGTAACAACTTGGTAACTGAAGCCCGGTAAGAAGTGACACATCGCTAATAGATAACTGACATCAAACACATTCATTCATCCATAAATAGCATTGCATAGGTCCTTGTTTTTAACTGGAGATTCTAAAATGATTACATTAACTCTACTAACATTGAACTCTTCCAAACAACTCTTTTCCAGGTAGAGCTGGAGATGTTAGTGTGCATGGTTACATCATTTCCTACGGGTACCTTGGTCCTATCCTTGGACGTGCCAGAGAGAGAGAGAGGGGGCTAAGAACAGGTGGCTTTCACGTCTAAACCAGTGACACGGGCATAGGACATCTCATGGGTCTTGGCCATCTGACCTGTGTATTGTTCTTAGTGTGCAATTGTACGGCAGCAATGATCTGGGATCGAACATACCACCTTTATGACCACAGTTAATGGCACTTCTATTCAGGAAGAAGGGGGAAAGACATGCTGATGATAACATTTGCATCTACAAAAATGCATTTATAGATTTTTCAATATCTGATGCACAAAGTCAGCCATAAGAAGCCAATAGAAAAAAAACACATAATAACAAAACAAAAATATATGGTTCTTTCCCCGAAAGAATCTGTTGACGGGGTAAGTATTCGTTTGTCCTTTTACATGTAAATAATGCATATAGCCCCCAGATTAAAAAAAAATCTTCAGAGTTTATAACTCAGACTGCAGAGATTCCTTTAGCCATGCTGGTTCAATTTGCCTCACCCAGGAACTGCACATGTACCATAGCATTCTGAATTAACAGCACTACAAATATGTTGATTCTAAAATCAAGCTTTATGCCCAAGAAACTAGAGCTAGAACTTGAGTAACGAAACTACAACAAAAAACCTATATAATTTAAAAATTTTAAATACAAGGTCTGTTTTTTTTTAAAACCTTGGCATAAAATTTTAAATTAAAATAGTTCGGGGACATATTTTATGATTTAGATAATCTGAGCATATCACACAGATCCCCTGTGCCAGGCGATTTCTAATAATGAAATCCTTCCTGGGAAATGGGTGCATGGATTCGGCCTGTGATGTGTTTCAGCAAGGCTTCAATGAGGACAAGCTTTAATCAATGTAAGACAGAGAGAAGATGCCCGGATGGTGGAGATTACAGAGAAGGTATGAGTGTCATTTGAGGCTCTCTGCCCCGTGTCTGGTTCCGGTCCGCGGCTAGGGGAGGAACTGCAACCCTATTTATAAGGCTCTCTGTCGTGCCGCCCACGGGAAGGATCGGGCCTGTTCCTCCACACAGTGCCCGAGGCCCTGCGACAGGGCTTCCCATCACCACACGCCAGCCCGCTGGTCAAACACTGGGCCAAGCTGTGGAGGTGTGTGGTCCCTGACACAGGGAGACTCTTAACTTTGTCGTGGACCGATGGGTTCGGGTATCTGAATGCAAAAGCTGTCTCACTGTGCAGAGTACAGTAGAAAACAAAGGACTTCATTTGACCGAAAGCTATAACTCCCCTGGCATACAAACCTGGCGTTTTAGTAACTGTTTCATTAACGTCTCTCACTCCTTTACCTACAAGTAAAAAGACAAATTATCATTTTCAAAAACATTAATTTTTGAAGAAGGTTGAAAAATATGTCAAGATGAAGCAATTTTCCTTTGTCCAGAATTTTTTTTTAAATGTACAACATAGTATATACAGATGCATTTTACACCCATGTCTCTGCTGTGGGATCTGAGTTGTGTTTGTAAGAGCTGAGCTCAGGGTCAGAGTGGATGTTCTGTGGGAGTCTACAACAGAGAGCCTTGCAAATGAGGGTGGTGGGCGGAGGCAGCTTCTGGTCCGGGAGGGCCATCCTGCCGGCACGGGGGCACGGGGGCATGTCTGAAGTGAGCTGGGATTCACACCTCATCCTCCAATCCCCCACTGAGACCGACAACCTCACGACTTAATAATGAGGGACACACCGTTATTTCCCCTGCCTGCGGTTTAATTCAATCATCAAGTTAGATTTAATTTATAATCCCTTAGCTCTTAAGAGTTTTGCTTCTTAGCATCCGTCCCCTGGACTCCTGGCGGGATGGGCAAGGGGGATGCAGGTTAAATATCCCCAAGGTGAGAATGGGGGGTACACTGCTCAGGGAAGTCAGGGCTCTGCTGGTCTGCCATTCCACACATGTACAGGATCCAGAGAGGGCACCTGCCGTTCGCCCCCGCACACCTCCCCCCACTTAATTCTCTCACTGGTAAACACACAAATCGGCAAGTAATTAAAGTGTCATATTCATGCTAATGGCTTTTGTAATTAAAAAAACAATGTCAAGGATATAGAAACTGATGCTGTCAGCAAACAACCTGTGGTCTTAAAAATAAAAACGATGGCTTAATTTATATGTGCTCAGACACTTGGCCAATATTCATTTACCCGATCTCATTTATGAAGACTCCATCTTCTGATGAGATATTAGATATTATTATTGTAAAATTCAGAATGCTTTTCTTCAGCCCAATAGCTTTTCTCTTTGATTGCAAATGTGGCTATAGCAAACAATGTCTACTGCCTGGCCACAGGGGAAAGGATGCACACACCGTACACAGCCCGGCCAGCCGCGGCAGGGTCGGCCAGGCCACGGTCCCACCCCACCTCCGGTCACTCAGGGGTCATCAGGGGTCATCCAGGCACATGTCAGACACACTAGCCGGGCCACACGCAATGCTTTCATTCCTTTTAGTAAGCACGGTCACATCTCCACCAGTGACTTACTTTTACAAACCGGAGACTTCCCTGTCCATTTCATGTCAGCTTTGCAGGTCCTGTGTTCAGACCCTCCCGCAAGGAAGAACCCCGGGTGGCAGGTGTACACGAGCGTGTAACCAAAGGCCGGGAGATCGATTGCCCTCACGTCCGCGTGCGCTGGGGTCTCCGGCTGCCGGCAGGCATGAGCTGCGGGAACATTTACTGCATTAGCAAGTGCTCACCTCTGCTCAGGAAAACGTCAGCAACTGCGTCCAAGACACAGAGCACAAATCGGGATGGCTATGAATCTAGTCACTTCTTCGTGTCACGTATGCATGTCATGGTATGAAGGGACCTAGAGAAGAGACTCCAGCTCTGAAAGAAACAGAACACTCCTGCTACGCAGTTCGGGGAAATGGTGTACCGCCTGTCCTTCAGTAACAGCCTTAGAAAGTAACACACGTGGCCCTCCGCGAGCTCAGAGGAGCAGAGTTGATTGTGTCAGCAACTAGTAAATTCATGTTCATTAAGCCAGTGCTAAGAATCTGATGTATATTTAGAAACTTAAGGTACTATTGATCCTTATTTCTTTAAAAATATAAGGAGTAATAATATTTATTCTGTATCTCACCTTCATGGTTTATAAATGTCTCAAATAAAAGCCTTGACTGATTACCACAGTGACAACTTTCGAGCTGTGAATATAGTTGTTTTAATGCTGCAGGCCATGTTTTCAGGCAGCTTTTGGCCCTTTGATGTAAGCCAGCCAGTTTCACGCTCAGTGAAGAGACACACAGACCAGGGCTGGGCAGGCTCTGTGTACGGCTGCGGGGCACACAGTCAGGGCACGCTTACGTATGCACTCCGTCTGGATCCCACTCCACGTGAGGTTGGCCAGGCACGTGCGGGTGGTGGAGCCCTGGACGTGGTACCCTTTCCTGCATCTGAAGAACACGGTGCTTCCCACCTGCAGGGGGGGGAAGAGGCTGAAGGGCGGGTCACCCCCGGCCGGTGGCCGCCAGCCCCTCTCCCGTCACCCCCCCCACTGCCATCCCCCCCTCTCCCGTCACCCCCCCACCATCCCCCCTCTCCCGTCACCCCCCCCACTGCCATCCCCCCTCTCCCGTCACCCCACTGCCATCCCCCCTCTCCCGTCACCCCCCCGCCATGCCCCCTCTCCCGTCACCCCCCCCCCACTGCCATCCCTCCTCTCCCGTCACCCCCCGCCATGCCCCCCTCTCCCGTCACCCCCCGCCATGCCCCCCTCTCCCGTCACCCCCCCGCCATGCCCCCCTCTCCCGTCACCCCCCGCCATGCCCCCTCTCCCGTCACCCTCCCCCCGCCATGCCCTCCTCTCCCGTCACCCCCCCCCGCCATGCCCTCCTCTCCCGTCACCCCCCCCCGCCATGCCCCCCTCTCCCGTCACCCCCCCGCCATGCCCCCCTCTCCCGTCACCCCCCCCCGCCATGCCCCCTCTCCCGTCACCCCCCCCGCCATGCCCCCCTCTCCCGTCACCCCCCCCGCCATGCCCCCTCTCCCGTCACCCCCCCCCCGCCATGCCCCCCTCTCCCGTCACCCCCCCCCGCCATGCCCCCCTCTCCCGTCACCCCCCCCACCATGCCCTCCTCTCCCGTCACCCCCCCCCGCCATCCCCCCTCTCCCGTCACCCCCCACCATGCCCCCCTCTCCCATCACCCCCCGCCATGCCCCCCTCTCCCGTCACCCCCCGCCATGCCCCCTCTCCCGTCACCCCCCCCCCGCCATGCCCTCCTCTCCCGTCACCCCCCCCGCCATCCCCCCTCTCCCGTCACCCCCCCGCCACCCCCGCTTGGCTGCCTGGATCAGCGAGCGCTTTCTGACCACACGCGTGGGAACGTGCCATGCTCAGAGCAATGGGGTGTGCGAGCCCTGCACCTGCGCTACCGGGTAAAGAAAGAGCGTCTCTGTAGAGCGAGGGCCCTGAATTCAGTGTTTGGTAGGGATTGCTCTTCTCTAACCTCTGCTGGTCACATTTTAAACAACCGAGTGAGGGAACTGCTTCAGTAGCTGCCTGGCCTGGGTAAGAATTCATCGGAACTCAGGGGGTTTCCCCAGCATAACAGTGCGGGAACCAAGACCACTGGCTGCCCTCTGTGTTCTGCATACCCGAGCACCTCCCGCCCCCCTCCCCATCTCCCCTGGGGCTCCACCTCTGTGCTCTCCATGTCTGAGTACCCTCCCTCCTCCCGCCCCCCTCCTCCCGCCCCCCTCCTCCCTCCCCATCTCCCCTGGGGCTCCACCGCTGTGCTCTCCCCTTCTGAGCACCCTCCCTCCTCCCGCCCCCCTCCTCCCGCCCCCCTCCTCCCTCCCCATCTCCCCTGGGGCTCCACTGCTGTGCTCTCCATGTCTGAGTACCCTCCCTCCTCCCGCCCCCCTCCTCCCGCCCCCCTCCTCCCGCCCCCCTCCTCCCTCCCCATCTCCCCTGGGGCTCCACTGCTGTGCTCTCCCCTTCTGAGCACCCTCCCTCCTCCCGCCCCCCTCCCCCTCCTCATCTCCCCTGGGGCTCCACTGCTGTGCTCTCCATGTCTGAGTACCCTCCCTCCTCCCGCCCCCCTCCTCCCGCCCCCCTCCTCCCGCCCCCCTCCTCCCTCCCCATCTCCCCTGGGGCTCCACTGCTGTGCTCTCCCCTTCTGAGCACCCTCCCTCCTCCCGCCCCCCTCCCCCTCCTCATCTCCCCTGGGGCTCCACTGCTGTGCTCTCCATGTCTGAGTACCCTCCCTCCTCCCGCCCCCCTCCTCCCGCCCCCCTCCTCCCGCCCCCCTCCTCCCTCCCCATCTCCCCTGGGGCTCCACCGCTGTGCTCTCCCCTTCTGAGCACCCTCCCTCCTCCCGCCCCCCTCCTCCCGCCCCCCTCCTCCCTCCCCATCTCCCCTGGGGCTCCACTGCTGTGCTCTCCATGTCTGAGTACCCTCCCTCCTCCCGCCCCCCTCCTCCCGCCCCCCTCCTCCCGCCCCCCCTCCTCCCTCCCCATCTCCCCTGGGGCTCCACTGCTGTGCTCTCCCCTTCTGAGCACCCTCCCTCCTCCCGCCCCCCTCCCCCTCCTCATCTCCCCTGGGGCTCCACTGCTGTGCTCTCCATGTCTGAGTACCCTCCCTCCTCCCGCCCCCCTCCTCCCACCCCCCCTCCTCCCGCCCCCCTCCCCCTCCTCATCTCCCCTGGGGCTCCACTGCTGTGGGCTGCCTGGGATTTCCAAGCACGAGTTCCTCTTGGCAGCAGGCTGATAGAATTCACTGCCCTGCCTCTCACAGGTCTAAGACCTCAGCTACAGCGCTCAACGGTGATCACATTCATTCTCCACAGTGGCTTGGTGAGAACAACATACATATATTTTTTCATATTCCCAGAGACTTGGCATTAGACATTTACCCGCCAGAAAGCATCTGGATGACACTTTAGTTCTGTGTCTGGGACACACTGCAAAAAGTGCTGGGGTCACCTGTGAGAACTTCCTGCCCCCAGGCAGGAAGCAGGGTGCCAGGTGGGCGGGAGGTGGAGGGCCGCTGGGGCACGTTTCTCGTTCTAGATTCCAAAACTGGAACCATACCTAGTGAGCCTGGGTATTCCAATTCACGTCGCAAGAGAACCGTGATGTTAAATACCTGAGCTTTTAAGGTGGCCGAAACATTTCAAGCTCTCATGTCAAGTTTTTCTCCAATGCTAATGGGGATGTTAATGTGCCTTTATTAAAAGGTCCAACATCCTGGTGACATTCCTGTGCTACGAATCCACGGCCCCCGGCACTCGGCGAGATCAGGCACAGGGCACAGGCCCAGGCGAGTGGCCAGAGGGAGGAACACACCCTCATTTATCATGATCATTATCTTCTTTCCTTTCCTGGCAGCACTAGGGCTTGAACTCAGGGCTGTATATTGCTAGGCAGGCCCTCTAGCACTGAGCCACAACAACAGGACGAAGGGTGAACTAATGCAACACTGATACTCACTAGACACTAGGTTGGAAATGAACTTTACAACTTGGGGTGGGGGGAGGAGAGTGGGGAGGAAAGCAGGAGAAAATGAGGGAGTCAAAATGAAATGCACTCATCACCTTACTTACGTATCTGTAACACCCTGTTCATCACCTTTATAATACAAAAGAACACACTCTCTTCTGTTCATCTCCTAAAATTACTGTCTTCGGCCCATTCTATCTACTCCTCAAATGGACTCTTACATCTGGCTGGTCAGCTGCAACTGCACTATGAGAAGTGTCTTTTAAAATCCGCAAAAATGTCCAGCTATCTATATCTCTAAGTAGAAGTGAATACAGCTATTGTTACAACAATAAGTTGTCTGTTGATACCCTGATGGTGACAGGTAAAACTAGTCAGAAATTCTCAGCCGGGTGCCAATGCTCACACCTGTAATCCTAGCTACTCAGGAGGCTAAGATCTGAGGATCATGGTTCAAAGCCAGCCGGGCAGGAAAGTCTGTGAAACTCTTATCTCCAATAAACCACCAGAAAACCGGAAGTGGTGCTGTAGCTCAAGTAGTAAAACACTCTCTTTGAACTGAAGAGCTGAGGGACAGCGCTCAGGCCCAGAGTTCAAGCCCCACATCCAGAAAAAGAAAATAGAAATTCTCATTGAATATAGTAAATACACATTACACAACAGTGTACACACACACTAAAATATCTTTGTGCTTTCTGTTTCCAGAGAACAACATATAAAGTACCTCATATCCTCTAGAGCTGTTCTGTATTCCAAAGTGCGGTGTGCCAGGGTCCGGGCAGGTGTTGTGTGCAGGATCTGAAATGCACAGTTAACACAAGAAATTGCAACACTTCTACGGAAAGGTCTTTCAAAATTCAGGGAAGTTTCTCTTGAGAACTTTTGAGGATTTTTCCATGCAAGTTAAATAATAACTGTAATAGTGATAATAATAATTATTATTTGCACACTACTACTACTTGAACTACAGCTTCATTTCCAAATTTTTGGTGGTTAATTAAAAATAAGAGTTCCATGGACTTTCCTGCCAGGATTGGCTTTGAACCATGGTCTTCAGATCTCAGCCTCCTAAGTGGCTAGCAGTACAGGTGTGAGCCACCGGTACAGGTCTTGTTATTAGTTTTTGACAGTGCCAGGCCAAGCAGGTGCACTGCAGGACTGCACCTGGCAAGCATGCTGGTTGCACTTCAGAGGGGCCTCACTTCCTGCCCAGCTTCGTGCCTGGACAAAGAGCTGCACTCTACGCTTCTGGCTGTAGCTGGACATAAGGTTCAGACAGCCCCAGCTGACTCCTTTCACTAACAGGAATCCCGGTGGCCATTTCTGCCGTGCTGTCCTGGATCCAGGGCCTCCCCATTCTCCGAGCAGCTAGGGTGACTATGAGCCACAACCACCTGGCCAGAAGTTACCATTTAACTTCTGGTACTTTACCAGACGAGACACAGCGCTCTCTGTTCTGGTCTAGTTAATAAGCCATCCATTTCCATTCTCTGTCTAATTCTCCCTGCTGAGACACTAGTTAGTAAATATCATACTATTTTAATAGCTTTCTATTGTTATGTTTTTGGTTCATAAGGAGTCATATTCCAAATCTTGTATCATTTCCCTCCAGACTCCAAACTGGACATACGTTCAATGTTCAGATGGAAGCCTTTGGACTGGTGGTGATGCTTCTTCCAGGTCAGCACAGCCACACTCTGTACACCCAGGACCTGCATACCCCCTCCTGCTCCCCCAGCCCCCCAGTGTCATTAGGAAACCCCCGTCAGCAGGAGAAAATGATAGATAACTGAACAAAAACGTTTCTTAGGGCAAGTAACCTATACGGATGTAGAAAAATATTTTATGTACAGACATGTTTGCCATGTGACACTTCAAATGAAATGACAACAAATACCCTATAACCGAACAATTCAGTGACACTACTGCTTATACTGTCTTTATCTCTAAGTAGTTACCATTTGATCTTCTAGAACACTGTCAAGAGTAAACCATGAATTTTAGTTTGTCAGAAATGCACAGGGAAATAGTACAAGTGGCTCAGCAGAATGAACCCCATGGAGTCCGGTCTGTAGCAGCACGGACATGCCAGCCAGGCTGCTGGGGGGGGGGGGGGGGCAGGGACGCGCGGGCGGGGCCGTGGGCGGGGCAGGGATGCGCAGGCCACAATTGGGACGCAGGGACAGGCCAGCCAGGCTGCGGGCAGGGCCGCGTTTGGGCCGCGCGGGCCAGGCCGCGGTGGGGTAGCGGGGCCGCGTGGGCCGGGCCACCCATGGCCAGGGTGGCAGTTCCACTTCCCAGGAGCCCTGTCTTGGCAGCACAGCTGTGAGCTGACTTGGAGTCTGGGCCGGCGGCCATTTTGGCCCATGTGAGTTGTAAGCTAGGGGCAGGCCCTCCCCTGAGCCTGTGTGTGGTTTCAGCCAGCCCCACGGTGGGGACACGTCCCCAGCCTGAGCCTTCCCAGGACCCCAGTCGTGCGCTGTCACCTATGCAGCGGGCTGAACGCCGCTCCACACCCCACCCCCGATGTCACCTATGCAGCGGGCTGAACGCCACTCCACACCCCACCCCCGATGTCACCTATGCAGCGGGCTGAACGCCACTCCACACCCCACCCCCGATGTCACCTATGCAGCGGGCTGAACGCCACTCCACACACCACCCCCGATGTCACCTATGCAGCGGGCTGAACGCCACTCCACACACCACCCCCGATGTCACCTATGCAGCGGGCTGAACGCCACTCCACACACCACCCCCGCCGTGTAGCGTGTTACCTATGCAGGTGGGCTGAACGCCACTCCACGTGCCATCTGCCTGGCAGACTCTTTTGGAGGATCCCACCAGTATAAATGGAGATTTGCACTGGAAGAAGACTTCGGAGTTGTAGGTGAAGCTTTTCCCACTGATCCTCCCCTCGGCCGGGACCCCGGGGTCTCCACAGAAGACAGCTACAGAGAACAACCAGGAGAGAAGGCGGCGGCTTTAACACCCCGGGTGGACTACTTTGCTGCTCAACTTGAAGTCGTTTCTGCCCAGTCTCCAGGTTGAATCAGAGAGCCAAAGAACTAAAGAACGCATCCCCTTGGGGGCTCAGGCTGGAGCCCGAGGTTCGTCCAGTGTGCAGCTGAGGATGTGTGGTGATGGGGGGGACTCACGCAGGCACTGGGGCACCTCTCCTTTCCACACCCCGCGGCCTTCACAGGACAGGATTGCCGAGTGGGAGAGCTGGTAGCCGTCGGCACAGCTGTAACTCACGCTGGAGCCCCAGTGGAAGTCTGCGCCCTCCACACTCCCATGCGGCACCGCAGGAGGCTGGCTGCACAGGACCGCTGTCCACAAAGAAAGCAGACACAGTTCTGCTGTTACAAAGACAGCATAAGTACAAGTTCACTACCGTTTTGCATTAGTTTAGATCAAAAAGGTAAAATGAAGATCAAGTGGAAATGGATCACATGGAAAGAGAAAACAGAATTGAGGAGTTAACAGGATTTCACATCTACAAGATCATGAAAGAAAAAATAATTCTTTTTATTTATTTATTTATTTTGGGTCAGGTTGTGGGGCCTGAACTCTGGGCCTGGGCGCTGTCCCTCAGCTCTTCAGCTCAAGGCTAGCGCTCTACCCCTTGAGCCACAGCACCACTTCCGGCTTTTTTCTTTTTGCTTATGTGGTGCTGAGGAATAGAACCCAGGGCCTCAGGCAAGCAAGGCAAATGCTCTATCACTGAGCCACCTTCCCAGCATGAAAAAATAATTGTTTTTACAGTGGTTATCATAAGTAAATCAAATGAAGGCTTGGTCATGTGACCAGAATAAAACTTTTGAGTTTGTGCATAAATTTGGTAAAATGTTCTCCTCTTCTGTGATTTTATTTATTTTAGGGCTGTGTACACTTTCCAAAAAGCATAATCTGTGTGTCTACTTGCTGTTCATACTTGTTTCAAAAACGAAGGCGTGAGTGGGTGAAGGGCTTTCCGTGGAATCCCACGTGCACGTGCTTTCTCCTGTGCTGGGTGAGCAATGTACAGGCCACGTGTGCAAGCACCGCCCTGGGGGTCGAGTGTGCCGCGGGCCCAGAGAGGACACCCAAAATCACCGTCCAAAACTCTTCCCTGAATTTCAGAAACTGATGAGAATTTCCAGACACAGAAATGGGTACAGGCATTCTTACCCAGTTCACAGCCCCAGCTTCTCCTGGGAAACGTCACACACACGTGAGCAACCGCAAGAACCAGCGGGCTGTACAAGGTGTGGGGTGCATCACAGGAAGCTTCTGAGCCCTACCCACCCGGTGCCTGCCACAGGTCTGCAGCACACCCCCCCATCTAGGATGGAGCCTCCGAACCCCACCTCCCCCATCCCCGATTTTGTCATGGGCCCTTCACTAGCCCTTTCTCTGTCATACTGCAAAAACAACGTGGCTGAGCTCCAGAAACCTCCGAGACAGGAGGTGCAGCCTGCTCCTGGCGGCTTGTGCACACACATGTACGCACCTCTGCAGACGGGCTTGCTCTGGTTCCAAGTGCCGTCCTTGGTGCAGCGGACGGTGGCAGAGGCCGCAGGCTCCATCAGGTACCCAGGGTTGCACTGGTAACTCACTGTCTTGTTGAAGGTGAAGTCCGTCCCAAACTGGACGCCGTTTGGTAGTGTGCCTGGGTCCCCGCAACTTATGACTGATGGGCAGGCGGTGGGAAAGAGCCAGAGGAAGGTGAAATCACCATGACATGAATTAATCCTGGCTCCCATCAAGGGATGCTCTATGAGCTGCTGTCCGAAGTGATCAGGCCGCAAATTATTAAAGTCTCCCCGCCCGCCACCCTTTGGGGATCTGGCTGACCTGCTGTCAGGAGGCTATGTGTTGGGATTTCTCATCCCTGCCTGGGTGGGCATGGCTGCTACCTCCTGCTGCCCCTAGCCAGGCCCGGTATGGGGTCACACACTGAACAGCCCACAGAGACAGCCTTGGACACTGTCCAACCTAACCGACCATTTAAAGTAGCTTCAGCTACTCAAAGTGCCTATAAAATGGGATCATGTTGAAAATGGATATTTGACTTTTGTCTGTATGGGTTTTAAAGTCAATGAAACTGCTCTGAAGGGCACGCTGTCCCTCCCCTCCCACAGCTCTGCAGCCCGAGCACGCCGACCGACAGCCACTCACTCGTGCAGTCGGGCGCCGTGCCCGTCCAGGTCCCGTTGGCTGTGCAGTGCCGGGTGGTGAGCCCCGAGGTCCGGTAGCCTTCCCAGCACGCGTAGACGACGGAGCTGGAGAAGAGGATGCCGTCGCTGCTGCTGATCATGCCGTTGGTCGGGGTGCCGGGGTTCCCACAGGACACAGCTGATGCAGGGGGAAGAGCGGACGCAAGCAAGTCATCCATGCGTTACCAGCAAGGCCTGAGGTCAACTCTAGCACAACGTCAACCATGGGAGCTCTGCTCATTCAAGGGACCTAGCCACGTCCTTAAACGCAAGACGTGTCTCTGCTGAGCAGCCTGGACGTGGCGAGACTCTCACAGCCTAAGGCCCGAGCGGCCGTGAGCACAGGGCCTGTGGGCAGGGGAGGGCCCCTCGTCACACTTCCACTTCAGTTAGCGCGGGCTGCGCCCAGGCCAGGGAAGACATGAGCCTTGGCCTCACCTCACAGCCCAGCCATCAGAGCTCGGGAACTCGCGTGAGGGAGCCTTGGAAACAGCAGTTAAAGATGAGGTTGCTAACCAAGGCAAGTGTCCTTCGGTGGAAATCTATAAATGTGTAATGTGAAAATTGTTAGGAATGTAAGGTAAGATCTTGAAGCATGCCTTCCACAGTTTTCCTTTGTGGCTCATCAACGCCTCTCCTCCCTTCACGTCCTCCTCCTGTGTGCCATCAGGTGAATGTCCCTGACACTGGTGTAGAGCACAAGCTGGACGGAGGCAGCGAACCAGAAGCCTGGTGGGCATGTCTGACAGGTGCTGGTTTTCTACCAGCTCCTCCAGGCAGCCCCGATCACACACACAAAGTGTTTCACACACACTAAGGCCATCTTTGATTATTTGCACAACTCCAAAACCAAGAACCCTACTCGCAAAGAATTTGTAAGGTTTAAAGTCTTCCCGCCTAAATTCTAAGCATTATTTTCGGAACTCTAAACAGAGTGCCACTGACCACAAGTCAGGTCAGGGACAGGCCTCTCGGAGAGTGCCGAGCCGCCGCCTTGCCCGCCCTCTCTCGCTCGCTCCTGGAGCCGCGTCCTGGGCTCTCGCACCGCAGTCAACTGATGCAGCCCAACACGTCACACAGAACGCAGCCCTGCGCCCCTGTGACAGAGCTCTGGGTGAGGGACACCAGAAGATTGCTGTCTACCTGCAGAAATCAACCTGATGACGGCCTGGCTCCTGTTAGCTGTGCCTAAACTGCATTTCCACCAACAAGTTCCATAAACCAGTGAAACCCCAGGAGCCCAGAGACCCCACCTCTGAGTGCCTGTACAACACGCCAAGTCTCAAGTCCAGTTTCCTAGGACCTACCCACCATCCTTGAAAGATGCTCTTAAAGACTATGGGGGCGAGGGGGTGATGGTGCAAAGAACACAGGTCTCTGGGGATCGGGAGGGGTGCTGCAGCCGCTTCTGGGGGCCGATGGCAGCAGGGCTGCGGGAGGACCCCTCGTCCTCACCTTCGCACACGGGCTGCACTCCGGACCAGGAGCCGTTGGCCAGGCACGTCCGCTCCGCCGAGCCCCGCAGCTGGTGGCCCATCTCACAGGAGAAGCGCAGGAGACTCTTGGTCTTAAACTCGTCCCCGAGCCGAGACCCGTGCGCCGGGGTCCCGGGGTCACCGCAAAACCCAGGGTGACTTCCTGTGGGACGTGAACACAGGCCGCACACGCGTGTTTAAAGCAACAGAAGTCGCCAAGTGATGCGTTAATTAAATGTGGGCTAAGCACGGTGATTCTAAAGCATTCTGGTCATCTTGTAAGAATGACTTGTTATCACAGACTACAAAACGGAAGGAGTTGAGACACCATTTTTGTGTCATTGAAGGACAAATAGCCTAGTGATTATGGCGTTTTGAAGACGTGAAATACTGAGGGGGTGAAGGGAGGGCGGTGTAGGGGAAGGAGGGGACACAGAATCGGGTGCACGCTCTGCCTGGGCGCAGCTACGCGGCGCCGTGGGGGAGCACCCAGCCTGGACTGGAGGAGGAGCAGGGGAGGACTGAGGGCAGCGAGCGTGTGTCTGGCAGTGGCAGTACTTTGGGGCTGCCGCTGACTCACAGCAGCGCAGCTGGCTTCCCCAGAACAGCCAGAGGCTCATGCGCTCCCACGGCATCGGCATCGGGTGACTGCGACCGCGGCCCTCACCTGAGCAGTGGGGCGGGGCTCCGCTCCAGCGACTGTCTTCCTGACAGACCCGTGTGCTGTTCCCCGTGAGGGTCTGGCCCGCTTCACAGGAGTACCGGACCGTGGCACCAAATGTGAACAGCTCTCCGGTGAGCACAGCGTTGGCTGGAACCCCAGGATGCCCACACGATATGGCTGACGGGAGGAAGAGCTCATGAGGAACAGGCCCATCATTCAGGAGAAGTCCCCCAGAGCACCTCCACTGAGAGTGAGCCCCCACGCCCAGCCTGCACGCCCCAGGGACAGGCTCCAGATGAGATCTCTGTCCACAAGAGAGACTGACTGAAGAAAAGGGAAAGCACTACTGCAGGGATTTTCTTTCTTAAGACAGCTTTGCGTAAGCCAGGAGCCAGTGGCGCACATTCATAATCCTAGCTACTCGGATCTGAGGCTGCCCAGACAGAAGAGTCCACTGGACTCTGTCTTCAGCAAAAAGCAGGGCTGGAGGCCTTCCTCAAAGAGGAGAGTACCAGCCTAGCAAGCACAAGGAACTGAGTTCAAACCTAGTCCTGTCTCCCACCTCTTACCACCCCCTATGAAACCGCAGCTCTGCTTGAGGTTGAAAAGTACATGTAAGCTTTCAAGGAGAAAACCATGTTTTCTGCTGCTCTTTTGTCTACTCTGAATTGCATATCCCCTGAGAGCAAAATTGTAAGAAATTTGGGAAACTAACATAAATCCATCAAAATTGAATCTATCAGAATGGTTTTCATTCCTTGGGGACAGAGTTCTGTTAAGTCTGCTTAATTTTTAAGTTGCCATGACTAAGAATACCAATCTAACAATGGTGCTTTTAATAAGTGGCAATCTAAATTGCGTAAGTAAAAAAGAAATATTTGATTAATTTCTTCCATAAAGTAACATTCATATTTTCATTTATTTCCCTAAAATTGTACTAAATTGGGTCTCTATGCTGTTCATAATTATTCCTCAGCAAGGTTTGTCTGGATGAGAAGAGATTTATGCAAATAAAAATAAATCTAGGATTGGGATGAAAGGGATTTATGCAGATTCATCTCTATCTTTTCAATAAGCTACTGAATTTAATACTGGGTATACTTTTATGTGAACTAACTGGTTTGCAACTATCAATGAATCATCCAAAGGCATCCAATTTACTGTCTTAGGCTCTGAACATGGGGTCACTAGTGATCACATGATGAGCTCAGAGAGGAGGAGCTCAAAGTCTGGAATGCGGTTCTGATACCCCATAGCAAATTAGCCTTCCCTCTCTGTTCAACACTGGCGGTCCTTCACTGGAAGGCCTCATTTATCTACAGCTCCTACAAAGGAACCAATTAGAGCGAAGAGACTGAGAAGTTGAGTAAGTGATCAATTCTAGATGAAATAAAAGAGGACAGGGGAAGCCATCGGGAGCCAGGGTCACGGGGCAGTGGAGAGGAGCTGAGCCGATGTAGATGCAGGGCCGGGTCGCGCCGGGCCTCCGACACCGCCCGCTCCGCGATGGCGAGGGCTGGCAGCGGAGCCCGACGCCTCGGCAGACCCCCGCGGACGGTCCGGCACGTTCACAACTGTGCAAGGACAAGCACAAGTCTCCTCAACGTGTCTCTGAAAAGCCAGCAAGTGTGAAGGTGTGGGAAGACAGAGAACATGGAGATGGGGTGTCCACGAAGACTGCAGTACATCCGCGGATGCGCAGCAAGCGCAGCGTAAGCATATGACGCGTCCCAGGAAGAGGAGGACGCGCGGTGCGTTACTAACTCACAGACGGCGTAGCAGGTCTTCTCCGCTGCCACGCACTTTTCTTCCTGGAGCCTGGCATTACAGTTAGAATCCATGAGCACCAGCGTCAGGGCTGTGCGGGGACTGGCTTTGCAGAGGGAGTCTCCTCCCCAGGACCAAGCCACTCTCAATAGGGGGCCGTAGGGCTACGACTGTCACTGTGTGGACAGCGAGGCCAAGCCTCTCAGCCTCGTTCTGACTCGTGAGCATGCACAGGACAGGCGTGCCCGGAAGGCCGAGTTTCCACTTTAAGGACTACTTAAAAAGATCAATGTGAGGAATGCCATTTCCCACATTCTCAGACTGCATCCTAAGAGAGATGGTTTTCTTTGCACAGAAGGATGGCTGGGATTCTCAAGTGAAAGAAAATCAGACCATGGCTATGTGGGGAGCAAACGATGCATTCTTGTTAATCTGCATCTTCTGAAATGCAGCAATAATTATACCTCGAAGACTGCTGCAGTCCCAGGTCATCTTATCTGCCAGGAGAGCACCTCTATTTTTTCTAGCAACATAAATACGCTCTCTTCACATATTTATGTGAAGATCTTGTTCAGACGCTGCTGGTGAGCCCCAGTCACAGCGAGCCACCGCCCAGCGTGCACCTTCCCACTGAACCCGTCAGCCATGTGGTACGCCTCAGCACTCACCCAGACACTTGGGTAGAGACCTATCCCACAGGCCATTGGCCATGCAGGTCAAGGCCGAAGACCCCAGCAGGTAAAAGCCCTTCTTGCAGTGATACAGGACGCTCATTCCGTACTCGAAGCTCTCAGGGAATGTCTGCTGCCCGTGCCGAACGGCATTCTCCACGAAGCCTGGGTCAGAGCAGTTCACCACTGAAAACAAGAGAGGTCACAGGTCACCAGACCCAGCTGTGGCTCACAGAAAGAAACAGACAAACAGGTTACAACAGGAGAGAACCACTCATCATTCTAGAAAGCTGACAAAACGAGAACTTCATCCCCAAGCCGCGTCACTCTCCACTTCCTTGATGAATTCTGATGATTTCCCTGCACTGGTTTGCTTCCACAAATATTAAGTGTTAAATGAGCTACTACAGCAACTTTGATTTTATGAGGTTAGCTTACCGTGTCCTAATAACACACTTGGCCAACACAAACTCTGAAACTGGATGAGGTTTGGAGGTTTGAGGCAGGGACACGGTGACAAGCCGTCAACTGCGTCTGTCTGTGTGCTCACACATCAACATGTGTGCCTAGTCATGTCAAGCTTGCACACAGTCACGTCTGCTCATGGCAAAGGGAGCGGAGGACGGCAGCCCACGCGTCCTGTGAGTCTGTGGTCTATGACACGTTCCGGTCACCGCAGACCCCCATGGTCTGGGCACCGTGGGCATCTTCAGGGCACTAGTGATGTCCCCCAGGTAGAGCGCTCTGCACTGCACACAGCATGCCACAGATGGCTCTGCGGCACCAGAAATGGCAGGTTAGTCCGTTGGGCCCAGCTGTCCACAGGGGCAGCCTTCCTCGGCTTTCCTCCTCCCATGAGGTGTCTGAGTGACTCGGGGATCTGCTGGAAGGTGAGCTGAGCATCCTAAGTCAAATTCCTTAGGCCACCACGTATCCTAGGAAATGACCGGCGGCACTGCCGTGTGGACCCACGGGACCCGAGGTCTGAGTCACTCGTAGTGTGATGGCGAGGGTGAGGAGCGTGGGGATCTGCCTCAGAAAGATGTGGAGCGTGGGCCTGTCACAGAAATCCACACTTCCCTCTGGTATCTCACTCCACAAAATGCTCATGCTTGGCTGGATTTCCTGGTGAGAAATCCACCTCGGCAGGAAGGCATGAGACATAAAGACCTCTCCTAGGTTCACATGATTGCCCAGTGTGGAGAAATTCGGGTGGATCCCCAAAGTATGTCCCATGCAAACGTTTCTGCATGTCAGTAAAGAAACGCTTGTGTGAGCGCAGTCCCCAAGCGCACAGGGTCCGTACTGGAGGAGTCGGTAGAAACAAGGACCTGGGATTGTGTCCAGTACAGTTCACTCAAAAACCTGCATCACAGTTACTTGGTCAATCCCAACTGTGCCCTGTTCCTCTTTGAGAGGAAGCGAGACTGGGCATTTGTGTCATCTTGGAATCATAACCATCTATCTTGCCTCCTGAGTTATACACTGAGCCTTTTTACTACGGGCCACACCTCATCCCCAGAAACACTTGTTCAAAGCATTCGTGAGGTCAACATGCAAACATGGACAAGAACAGCACTCCGTGGCACCACCGGCCGTGTTCTCTTCAGATGTCTGGGGACCTCTGAAGCCTCCATCGCCGTTTCCTGCTCTCTCCAGGCAGGTATAGACAGCTGACAAAGGGGATCTTAGAATGCCACGCTGAGACATTAATAGTGAATTCTGTGAGCTGTTCTGCGGGCCTTGTGGCGACTGGCATTTCCCTGGGGCTCGGGGGACACAGCCTCTCACCATCTTGTCCTCAGGGGGCTGGGCATCACATCGATTCCTCATCCCTCTCCTGTTCAGAACCCAGAGCCATGGCGTGTTTTCACGAACATCTGGGTCCTTCTGCATGATGGAGGCCCCCGTCCTTCACCCTGGCTGCTTGTGGCAGGTGGTGACGGAGCACACGTGGAGGCAGCGCAGTGGTCACCGTGAAAGTCAGAGGACTCGAGCAAAGCAGCCCCCACCAGACCCTCCCAGCGTGTCCCCTGCCAGCGTGTCCCATCCCCCACCAGACCCTCCCAGCGTGTCCCCTGCCAGCGTGTCCCATCCCCCACCAGACCCTCCCAGCGTGTCCCCTGCCAGCGTGTCCCATCCCCCACCAGACCCTCCCAGCCTGTCCCCTGCCAGCGTGTCCCATCCCCCACCAGACCCTCCCAGCGTGTCCCCTGCCTCCGTCCCATCCCCCACCAGACCCTCCCAGCGTGTCCCCTGCCAGCGTCCCATCCCCCACCAGACCCTCCCAGCGTGTCCCCTGCCAGCGTGTCCCATCCCCCACCAGACCCTCCCAGCGTGTCCCCTGCCTCCATCCCATCTCCCACCAGACCCTCCCAGCGTGTCCCCTGCCAGCATGTCCCATCCCCCACCAGACCCTCCCAGCGTGTCCCCTGCCTCCATCCCATCCCCCACCAGACCCTCCCAGCGTGTCCCCTGCCAGCGTGTCCCATCCCCCACCAGACACTCCCAGCCTGTCCCCTGCCTGCGTGTCCCATCCCCCACCAGACCCTCCCAGCGTGTCCCCTGCCAGCGTCCCCCCTGCCTGCGTCCCATCCCCCACCAGACCCTCCCAGCGTGTCCCCTGCCTGCGTGTCCCCTGCCTGCGTCCCATCCCCCACCAGACCCTCCCAGCGTGTCCTCTGCCTGCGTGTCCCATCCCCCACCAGACCCTCCCAGCGTGTCCCCTGCCTCCGTCCCATCCCCCACCAGACCCTCCCAGCGTGTCCCCTGCCTGCGTCCCATCCCCCACCAGACCCTCCCAGCGTGTCCCCTGCCTCCGTCCCATCCCCCACCAGACCCTCCCAGCGTGTCCCCTGCCAGCGTGTCCCATCCCCCACCAGACCCTCCCAGCGTGTCCCCTGCCAGCGTGTCCCATCCCCCACCAGACCCTCCCAGCGTGTCCTCTGCCTGCGTGTCCCATCCCCCACCAGACCCTCCCAGCGTGTCCCCTGCCTCCGTCCCATCCCCCACCAGACCCTCCCAGCGTGTCCCCTGCCAGCGTGTCCCATCCCCCACCAGACCCTCCCAGCGTGTCCTCTGCCTGCGTGTCCCATCCCCCACCAGACCCTCCCAGCGTGTCCTCTGCCTGCGTGTCCCATCCCCCACCAGACCCTCCCAGCGTGTCCCCTGCCTCCATCCCATCTCCCACCAGACCCTCCCAGCGTGTCCCCTGCCTCCGTCCCATCCCCCACCAGACCCTCCCAGCGTGTCCCCTGCCTCCGTCCCATCCCCCACCAGACCCTCCCAGTGTGTCCCCTGCCTGCGTCCCTTCCCCCACCAGACCCTCCCAGCATGTCCCCTGCCTGCGTCCCATCCCCCACCAGACCCTCCCAGCGTGTCCCCTGCCTGCGTCCCTTCCCCCACCAGACCCTCCCAGTGTGTCCCCTGCCTCCGTCCCATCCCCCACCAGACCCTCCCAGCGTGTCCCCTGCCAGCGTGTCCCATCCCCCACCAGACACTCCCAGCGTGTCCCCTGCCTGCGTCCCATCCCCCACTGAAACACCTAGGAAACTTCCATCACTTTTAATTAGATAATTTAGTTCTGAGTTCCATCTGTAGTTCTCGGGGGAAAAAATTACAATAAGCTCTTAGCCCGAGCACAGTATATTTCCCTTGTGTATTGCTGCTTTATTTATTCATTCATTAAAATATATTAATTGATGATAAATTAAAAAGTTGATGAGGTTTGACTTTCAGGGCGTCTGATGTGACTGGAGCAGAACTATGCAATTTAACTTGCAAATTCAAAGTCTGGTTAAACACGGAAACTCCAAAAACACAGACGCTAAAGAACTTCCCAGCTCTTGGGCTCCACAGGGTCTCCGTGAGCCTCAGGCTGGGACGGCGGTGGCCTGCAGGGGTAGGGCCTCTCCCAGGCTCCCTCCCAACACCCGGGCCTGTGGAAGATGAACCCGGGCCACGTCCGTGGCTAGGGTTTTCTTTGCAAGGCAAAAGGCATTTATTGTTATAAAATTATTTTAGTTTCATTCTCACAAAAAAGTAAAGTGAATGGGAAGGTTCAAATTAAATAAAAAAATCAGGTGTCTGAGGCAAAGGTTTTCTGCAAACAAACAAACAAAAAACCACTGCTCAGTAACATGGAAAATACACTGAGCTGATCGAGCAGCGGTAAGCCCTGATGGAGGAAGGAAGCCCAGAGGTCCTGTATACTTAGCACCTTCACAGAGGGAAAAGTAAATAAACAGAGGAAAGAAAGAAGCAGAAGAAGGAAACGAAAGCCCTCCTCTACTACATGCAAGGGTCTGCCTGTTGCTGGGCACTGGGGCAGACATCAGGCCCTGTTAGATAGAGGACAGGGAGACACCTTTAAAACAGTTACTGTTCATGACAAGCCATCCTTATCCTCCCTGTCATTTGAATCGACTAAGATGCTCTGGGTCAGAACCATTCGACCCTCTGACTGTTGGCGCCATTCTGTCCCCAACTACATGGAGGGAGGGCTGTGGGACAGCGATGGCTGGAGTCTTCCCGCCAGCACCATGGGCTCTGAAATCTCCATGGAGACCTCGAGGAAGCCACACAGCAACCACAGCCACTTGCCGCCTCAGAGCTGTTCCAGTCCCCAAGCCGTCGCCCCGGAAAGTTCTCATGAGCTCTGCTGTCTGCTGACTTGACAAGCTCTCGACGAACCTCTCTGTACTATGAACGCACGCAGCCCAGCACCAGACAATGGCTTTCAACCCCCTACCTGAGAAAGGACCAGTAAGCAGAACATGCAAAGACTTCTGAAAACACAGCCTTATAAAGCACATGAGAACTCTAAGCCATCTGCCAAGAACACGGGCCAAATGTGGAAGCAGACACGCAGAAGGGTGCGCGGGGGCAGCAAAGGACACACAAGATGCTGTTACCACACTCCACCGGACCCTCACAGGGACTGGCTATACGCCTGACAGAGAAATGCAGAATAAGGCACACAGCCACACCAGACGCCGTGACAAAACTAACAACTAACATCCACGGATCTGCACCCTCCTGAAGTGCATCTGAATGGGGCTCCCTGGAACTCAGGGACACCCGGCGTCAGCGGGTGTCTCAGAGCACACGTGACTGAGGAGGCTCTACAACCGCTCACAGATGGGGCTGGGCTGGGGCTGGGCAGTCTGAGAGCGGGGAGAGACGGCCCAGGTGCCAACAAGGAGGGACTCCCTGTGGACTCATGGCGCCCACAGAGACCTCCCGTGCCCACCACGTGTGAGCTACTGATGAAGCTTACCCAGTCTCCCTGGCTGACTGCCCTCTGGGACTGGCCACTCCATGTCCACAGAGCCCGAAGGAGAGTTTCAGGCCCGGGAATCCAGGGCAGCTCTGCTGTGGGCCTTCCCGTCCTCCTGTCTGAGGTATACTTTCCCTTCCCATCCCTTTGCATTCATGCACCTGCTTCTGCTCAAGTCTCCTGGGTCCCTGGACTCTCTCTCTTATAGGCCAGAATCCCTCTGTACCCCAAGCCTGGTGACACAAATGCAGGGACATTACCCCACTTTTGCACCAAGACATAACACACCTGGGGTAAGGAAGACATCTCTGCGGAATTGAACTCCTAAATGGCCTGATACCATGAGACCTATAAAAATTAACACAGAATTTCCTTTTAAGCTCAGGTGGTAGACCAGGTTTATGTGCGAGTTTTAAATAAATGAATCAAAGATGAATAGGTGAAATTTAAGAACAGTAAACCCTCTCTGTATAACGAGTACATAAAGACAATAGAAGTAATAGATAAAAGCAGAGAAAACTTCAGCCATACATTCATAAAATTAGAAGCTTAGGGGCTAAAAGTGCTCATAAAACACTGTACCAAAAACAAAGAGTGAACAAATGAATGAGAAAACAAAAACAAAAACAAAACAAAAAAACCCCAGACAGATTTGTCTTTGCAGGAGAAAAATCTTAGGTTTGTGATTGGCTGTCCCATCAAGAAGCAGAAAGAGGCTCTTGGGAAATAGTGTGTGTGACTTCCCAGTGTGCAGGGCTCTGTGGTCAGCAGCGTGCACTGTTGGTGTCCAGCCCTGAGCCGAGGCTGCACACTCCATTTGTGAACACAGTTTTCCGCACCCTGACACGCGGGGCCCGGGGCCCTTGCCTACCTCGACACGCGGGCAGAGGGCTGCTCCACTGGCCGCTGCTCCGGCACTGGGCGCGGGAGGCTCCGTGCAGCAAGTAGCCTGTGTTGCAGGTGAAGTTCACGAGGTCGTTCAGGTTGAACTCCGTGCCGTTGGTGGTGCCGTGGGCAGGGTTTCCGGGGTGTCCGCAGGTGATGGCTGTGAAGACAGGTCCAGGTCACTACCCACTTCCCCCTGCTATTACTCATGAGAACACACAGGTGCAAACCCACACTGCTGCGCTCAGGGGGTTCTCACCAGACTCTCTGCAGTTGCTCTTTGTGTCTAAAAGAGCATCTGGGATTGGCCATGGGCTGAAGGTAGAGACCTTTGTTACACTTGTGGACAAGGCTGCCAGATGTAGTTTCCACATTACAGAAACTTATTTTTTCCAGGAGGACAGAACACCATGGATTTGAAAGAGGCAGCGAATGACAGATGAGAATAGTTTGGCTTGAACGGGAGTTTGAATGTTTACCTCCTTTGGACTTGCCAATCTCTGGAACTCTTGAAAACATGATGGGCTTTTGCTTAAAACTAAATTGTCCATGTATAGATGACTCAAATATCCAATTAAATGTTATGAAATTAGCAACACAACTGTGCACACTCAAAGTTATTTTCACTGCCAGTCCTGTTGTATGATACTCTGAAATGTGGTGAACTGTCATGTTATACTTCAAACAATCACCATACAGAACAGGGAACTATCTGTCCTTAGCCCTTCCAAACACTGGTATTTTTGTTCCTCATTTGTCTTGCCAGCACTCTGTAAGTTCTAACTGATGCTCTCATGCCTGAACTTTGTACATGACAGACCCGTATCGCAGACAGCACTGCCATTGCCCAGTGGCCGCACCCACCTCCCTGTTGCTTAGTTCACAGGAAGACAAAGAATGTGTCAGAGTGAGAACTGGCTTAAAATTTACAACTGTTCTAAATACCAGACCCTGTTTTGATCTTTGAAGTTACCAGTTTAAAGAGCTATGTCTACATATGATTGTCTCTTTTGTGTAAAAAAGGAGGGCTGTTTGCAAGACTGAGCATTCCTTTTTGTTGTTGTTGGTTGTGGGGCCTGAACTCTGGGCCTGGGCACTGTCCCTCAGCTCTTCAACTCAAAGCTAGCGTTCTACCACTTGAGCGACAGCGCCACTTCCGGCTTTTTTTTTTTCTGCTTCTGTGGTGCTGAGGAATCGAACCCAGGGCCTCATGCATGCAAGGCCAGCGCTCTACCACTGAGCCACCTTCCCAGTCCAAGGCTGGGCATTGTTGATGAAACCAGTTTGCAAATGTCACGCAGAGTGGATACTCTGAAGATCCGCAGAGCGGGCCTGCAGCCCTCCTCTAGGCCTCCCTCCCCCTGGGTGTCCCGTGACAAACAGGAGTGAGTGCGTGGCAGTGTCATCCCGGACACCACACAGACACTGAACTGGTGGGACTTAAATGTGGTCAGCAGTGCTGTGGCGGGGCAAGAGGCAGATGGCTGAGACGAGGGAGAGGAGAGGTGGCCGCAGACCTGCGCGTCACACTGCCAGCCCATGGGGGACCGCGAGAGGCTCGCTACTGGCTGAAGATGGGTGTGTATGCGCGCGTGCGTGAGCGTGTGCACAGGTGTGGGGGTGTGCACGTGTGTGAGCATTGCACAGGTGTGTGCACACACGTGTACGTGTTTGTGCACATGTGCATGGGCATGTCTGAGCATTGCACAGGCATGTGCACACACTGCATGTGAGCATAGGCACAGGTGTGAGTACGCATCTGTATGTACATGAGTGTGTACGTGAGTGAGCATGTGTGCATGTGTGGGGGCATATGTGCCAACCAGCATGCATGTGTGTATGCACAAACACATGGGTGTGTAGGATCACGTGTGCATGGGAGCGTGCATATGCGTGTGTGCGTGTGCATGGTCCGACCACGGCAGTACTCACGGACACAGACGGGCGTCTGGCCAGACCACTTGTGGTCCTGCAGGCAGATCCTGACGGAGGTCCCCACCAGCCGGAAGCCGGGGTTGCACTGGTAGACGACGGTGTCTCGGTAGCTGAAGCCGTCCCCGCTGATGTGCCCGTTCACGATGGGGTCCGGGGAGCCGCAGTGCCCGGCTGAGAGCAGACCCAGAAGCAGCAGAGAACGGTCGATGAATGCCGGGACTGGACGCACCCCGGCCCTCACTCCTCACTCACCCAACAGCCAATCCAGCAGCAGCCCCACGCAGCGGACTGGCTGGAACCCCACTGACACGGTACCTCACTTCACCTCCACCACCCTTCCCTTCCCACCTCTCGCAGTGTCTGCCAGCACACTAAGGACTAGGTGTGAATGATTTTTATAATTCTTATGACTCCTGCACTTAACTTCCCGACCTTTCGTATTATTTATCTTGCTGTTCCATTTCCAAATAAAAGCCGAGAGAAAGGAGGGGCACCTAGCAAATCAGATCAGGGCTGGAAAGGGGAGGTGGGCTTCCTGTCTAAGAAATGAGGTTGTCAGATGATGTGTGACCATCCAGAAGGAGGATCTGGCACAGAAACTTGAGTATTGGTAGACCACTGTCTGATGAAACTGTGACTAGGGTGTTTTGTAGGATGTGGAAGTACCGAGTTCAGGGCAGAGTGGTACTGACGAGGTAGATACGGGAGGAATGGAACAAAAGTAGGAGGTGGGCTGGAATGCAAGGGCAACAACGCTGACCACAGCAGGACATATATCAGAGAAAGGAAAGGCCGGGGCAGGACAGAGCTGGAGACTGATGAGAACTGGGGATATGCCGGGGCTGGAGCGCCATGAGAACTGCGGGCAGGACAAAGGTCTCTGTTCCTCCTGGTGACCGTCCACTATCAGAGAAACATGACCAGCCGCACTCACTGCCAAGCCCTGCTGGAGGCTCTCCGAGTTGTTGTGAGTGTCAGCTGGTCGAGCTCCTGCCCCTTTGAAGCAACTCGTTTCTCACTTGCTCTACCCTTCAGCCTCAGCAAGTTCCTCTCTAAACAAGTCAAAGTCCGAAGGATACGATAGGCAAGTACAGATTTTTCACACAATTCCAGTTACAGTGGAATAGAGAAAACTCTATGAATATAAAAATTAAAAGAAAGAGTAAAGGGGAGGAGAGCAATCAGGTCATAACGAGGTATCAATGAATCAAAGTCACGCACTGATTCTGTAGCTGCATACAGTGAAGCCAGACTCCAAGGGCTCTTCATTTGCTTGTTTTGTCTTCATATTTATTCCTTCATTGACATTTGCCCGTAGCTCAAACAAAGATCCCTGTGTGTTTTTACAGTAATTCTACAGCACAAGTTACTGTGTTAGTAGGTCACAAATTCTAAATTTCTCAAAAACACCTGCGAGAAAATGCTGAAGAAGGTGTTGGGGCTCTAGGTTGTGGCCCAGTTCACGCATGTCAATCTCACCAGAAACCTACAAGTCAGGCACTGATCAGACAGAGGGACCAGAGAAGCTAGTGGCCTAAAGAATTAGTACAGAGTCTGCATCTGGATATGCAGACACTCCCACCACCAAAACAGAACAAAATCCACATCACACCAGTGCCAATGCCGTATTTTGTGACTAGCTGAATTTCAGAGCAAGAACAATGTGAAATTTCAACAACAAAGCCTTGGACAGACACCTCCTGTGCTGTGGACAGGACCTGAAGTCTGCAGGGTGGACGTCACACCTCGGGAGAGACCTGAGGACATGTAGGCACACACATGAACCCATGCACACATGTCTGCACACATCACACATGTGTGCACACACCACACACATGCGTGCACACACATCCCCACACCACACACATGCACAACATGCACACCACACACGTGTGTACACACACCACACACATGCGTGCACACACATCCCCACACCACACACATGCACACCACACACGTGTGTACACACACCACACACATGCGTGCACACACATCCCCACACCACACACATGCACACACACATACATACTCCTCTTGGAGGTGTCTGCTGTAAGGCCTCCTTTTCAGTGTGCCAGTTCCCATCAGGGCAGATACTAAATATCAATGTGAGAGTAGAACTCCATTTCTAGAAAACTCCTATCCAAATATTCATCCTTAGCATTTACTTTGTGGCAACTGGTGCTTCATTGCTGAGGATAAATGCCAAGTGTTGAAGGTCCTGACCTTAGGGGAGTCAGAACCGCAGCAGGCTGCCCGGTGTCTGTGGACACGTCTCTTCTGCTGGATGTCACCTGTATTGCCGGGTATGGGTGGACCCCTTCTCTGGATGGGGTACCCAAGTCCAGTTATGGGCTCGTCTTTCGTAGAGACGAGTGGTCATGGAATGTCCAAGGGACCAGCCACATACATGTGCAGAACAGTGACTACAAATGTGAAACACGCATGGGTATGCGTACACCTCCACATCTGTACGTGTCAAGCACCCTGGAGAACGCGGATGTATGAGACTCTGGATGCCTCCACAGGCAGCTGTGGGGGTGTGGGGTCTGGCTGCCACGCACAGGAAGCTGAGCTGCCGAGAGAGGGTGTGGGCCCTCCACAGGCAGCTGTGGGGGTGTGGGGTCTGGCTGCCACGCACAGGAAGCTGAGCTGCCGAGAGAGGGTGTGGGCCCTCCACAGGCAGCTGTGGGGGTGTGGGGTCTGGCTGCCACGCACAGGAAGCTGAGCTGCCGAGAGGGGGTGTGGGCCCTTCTGCGGCTCCGCACCGTGGCCGTGGCTGTGCAGGTCTCTCTGCTCTATGCATTGCACTCCGGGCGCTAGGTGCTGACATCAGCTTGGAGCCTGGTCACAGCGCCTCCAGATGCAACTTTTGACCAAATATCTGTCTAACACATCCAGGAAAGCAGCAGCGATTTAAGGCCATACTCAGTAGGAAGAAAAGTTCAAGCCAGTACAATGGTCTTTGAGGTTTTCTGAAATCTTTCACCTGCTTCCTTTTAGTGTTCCTGTTGTTCCGCATAGTTCCTAAATACACATGCTTCTATTCCTGTGCATAAACTGCACCAGTCTGCATTGCTTCCCCGGCCTTCTGTGTCAGTGAAGCATCTATGCATCTCTCAAAGTGAAGTCTAAATCTATGCTGGGTTCTCAGACCTGGACAAATGCTGAAAGAATCATTTATATGGACCGACAGGAGGTGGGCCTGTCTCTGGTGAGCTCTGAGGAACTCACCTCAGGTTTAACCCTGGTAGCCAGTGTCCTGGTCTCACAAGGGAACAGAGCCAGCAGCTGGCCCAGCACAGGTGTCTGCAATATTACACGAGCTCTCTCTCTCTTGATCCCTTAGTTAGAGCTGTCGAGGTCACCTGACTACCCGATTATCCACACACAAGCTATTTAGACCAGGTATGGCATCCAGAATCACCTCAGCCTGTTTGTGTGTGCTGAAATCCACATCCCAGAGATGATCTGAGCACACCATATTAAAAGGTAGCCCGGGGTGAAAGTTGATCCTCATTATGGCATGAAAAACCCTGAGCAACACAAATGTCAGATCAGTCAAAGTGGCCTCCCCCTCTCCTCCACCTGTAGGACACTGCCTGAGGAGCTGCTGTTCTCTCCTTCTGACAGTCACGATTCCCAGCCTTTCATTATAGTACTTGGCATCGACCACATTTGTTCCTACATTATAGATTCCATTAAATGAAGTACTTTGTCCTATTAACCTTTTCAAGTACTCTACGGCTCTTGAATAATGAAATAGATATTGTTAGACAATGTTCTGAAACACACGGCCAAGAGCTCGCTGCTCTTACCCTGGGCAAGAATAACACAAGCTCAAACTGTGAGGGGTGGAATTGGTTGTTTCCAAGTAGTTTACTTTTCCTGACTAGGACACACATGTGCTTTGTACATGAGATCCTTCAGCAGAGACCAAGCAGGGGGAGAATACATTTTTCTTCTCTAATAGTATCTTTTGGACCTAAGAGGAACATTATCGTTATCAGCTGTTCTGGACCTCTCAAAAAATACCAAGCATTTGAAGAACACATTCCAAGCTCACTTGACAAGAGCCACAGCATATTTAGTCTAAAAGAATACTTTGAATTATGTCATCTAGCTGATTAACCATCTGAGCTTCCTCGATACTGCACTTACCGTAGAATTTGCTTCCTCATGGTTATTATAGTTCAGCTAATGCAAACTTACTTCAAATAAAACCTAATCTAATAAAAAGATAATGTACATTTCAGAGATACCTTGAATGTCATAAAGAGGCCACCAGTGGGAGCGCTGTCAGGCCGTTATGTATTGAAAAATCTGAACAATAGAAGTATTGTCAAAGGAGGACATTTGCAACCCGGGACCAGACTGCAAACGTAACACCTCCTCCAGGTCCTGCGCTCAGTGCTGGGCTTGAGGTAAATTAGCACAGGAGAGGCAAACACCGGCATTAATTAACGGAGGCTGGCACACCAGACATCCCCGAGGGACAGAGGCTGGGGCACACCAGACGTCCCTGAGGGGCACGGAGGTGTCTGGAAGCAGACATGAGGTCAGTCTGCCCAAAGCTGAAGTCTGCAGCCTAGAGAGACATGCCGCACTGCCCAGAATGGATGTGGATTACAGCAAGTCCTTGGTACTTCACAGAGCCTTGGCAGACCCTGCTGAGAGGCAGAGGGAGAGCCCGAGTCAGCATGGGGTAGCTTTGAGACCTGTGTGTACAGCTGTGTGGAACTCCTCTGCATGCTGCCTACATACATTTGCCATCCTCGGTCAGGGGTTCTGGGTAAGACTTCCTGCTATGACCTCTGATCCAGTGGAGACATAGTCACGGAGCGCGTGGTGAAGAGGATCTATCCCTACTCTCCATAGACAAGGCTCTTACTGTCTACAGGGCTCCCCTGATGGCCAACATGCCTGGCATTTCTGCTCAACCAGCAATGTGTCTGTGGCAAGTGTCCCCGTGAACAATGCCAGACACACCAGAGTGCCATGCACAGAACCTGTTGTGCAAGCCGGCGCGCCGTCTCCACAGACAGCATTCCTTCTTACAAACCAGACACTGCGCTCATAGCGGGAGTGTGCTTCTGCAAAAGCCCAGGCCGTGACAGGCAGCGTGGAGTCGGAACCCACACATGCGAGGAGGCTCTGGGGCGGGGCACCGTGGG